ATCATTTCCTCTATGTTACAGGGGAAGAAATTAATGATTGAATTGGTTAAGAATTTCATCAAGTTCACACACCTACTAAGCAGCAGAGGTGAGTTCCAAACAGGTCATTCTGATTTAAAAGCCCTCCCATAGTCACAAAGCTTCACACACCAGGTTTGGCAAATATTAATCATATGATACATATTTCTGATTTGAATTCTTATAAAAAAATTAAGACAACGTAGTTGAAGAATTTTAATGATAATTACACATGTTCCATAGCATTAAATTAGGAATCAAGCAATTCATATGAACTGCAGTGATGAGTGTGTTTCAGGGAGCAGTACTCATCAGGGTAGGCTAGGTAATGCTGCAATAACAAGCAACTCTGAAATCTTTGCCTTCACACAAGTTTCTCACTTATATCCAACCTTGGCAACAAGGGGTTATGTTCAGCTTAGGTACTTAGGGTCCCAGGCTAAAAGTGGGTCCATTCCAACATGCACTCATTTCCATGACTGCTGAGGGCAGAGAAGTGAACATCACATATTGATCCTTAAAGTGTCTTCCCAGAAGTGACAAATTTCACTTCCACTCACTTTTTCTTTGACCAAAACAAGTCTTATGGCCACAGTTCAAAGAGAGTAGGTACCTTCATCCTATCGTGTGCCTGGAGAAAAGGAAGCTAGAAAGGTTTGCTGAACAGCAAAAATCCCCTTCTCTACCTGTGGGCAACCACTCATCTGTTTTCTGTCCCTCTAGGCTTTTCCAGGATATGATGTAAATGGACTTCTACAGTCAGTAGCCTTTAATAGTCAGCTTTTAGTCACTTGGCACACCACTTTTCTCATCCTTGTGGTTGCCTGTTGCGGTCATTTGTTCCTTTTAATTGCTTAGAGATATCTTATTAAATAGCTGTTGTACAATTCTGCTATCTGATATATCTTAAAAGTGCTTTCTCCCAAATGCCTGCTTGAGCATTGCTGTAAGAGAGTTTTGCTAAGGGATTCAGTTCCGTTACATGTCATAGCTATATGTTTGTTCACCATCACCCAGTTTTCAGCCTTCTCAGCCTTCAGCTGCCAGCGGGCAAGACCTCCAGTACCACCAGTTTTAGTACATGTATTTTGTCAGATGATTTGCCCATCCACTTATCCTTATTTGTTTAGTGAATGCCTAGTAGGTGGGAGCCAGGCACCAAGCATAAAATGTTTAACAGGATAGCATTGGTTCCTATCCCCACAGTTATGATTCTGAGCCCATTAATCCCCTCATGTTATGGGTGGGGGAGGTTAGAGAAGTGAAGGGCAAGTGGCAAGAACACTTTGATCGCCTAAATTCTCCAGCAGTTACTAGTGAATAGCATCACAATGATATCAGGTGTGTAACTGTTTGTCTTCTTTTGGTGACAGCAGGGCCCCTATTGATAAGAATAATGTGTGTTATTTCTTTGTAGTTTACAAAGTGTTTTCATATGAATTCTTTTAATCCTCACAACTCTGCAAGGCAATCACTATTTTACTAATTTTATTGGTCAGGACACTGAGGTTCAGAAAGCTGAGCAGACTTTTAGGCCTGATGTAATTTGGGAAAACAGCAGGAGTTTTTTGGAGAGTGTCTTGTACCAACTGATGGTACTGAAAGTTTTTTTAATGAAGTCAGTAAAAATCAACATAAATATTTATTCCTGGCATCTCTCTTGGATCTTTTTGACCTGAGGTTCCTGCTCACTGTGCTAGGAAGTGGCATGATGTCACAATCCAGTTCGGAGATTTGAAAGCTGCCATAACCATTCAACATTCAATGCACAAGAACTCTGATCTGGATTATCATGCACCTTACCTATACTTTCCAAGCAATGGAAAATGGACACTGTGCAAGTCTAAGAGCCTAAAAATACTTCTGAGATCTTTCCTTGTTGACAAATAAAACCTGGGGCAGAGGCTCAGTCAGGTCAGAGGCACAAGTAGGATAAACACTCAGGCCAACTTTGTATATATAACAAAAACCCTCCCATTTTAGGTTCAAAACAATTGCCAGTGTGCGGCATTATTCAAAATAGCTAAGATATGGAAATAACCTAATTGTCCTTTAACAGATGAGTGAATAAGGAAATTGTGTACACATACAATGATATTATTCATCATTTAAAAAGGAGATGCTGCCCTTTGAGACAGCATGGAACTTTGAGGACATGATGTTAGATGAAGTAAGTCAGACACAGAAAAGACAAATATTGCATGACCTCACTTACTTGCATGAATTGCTGTGTATTACACGTGTCATGTCTATTCATTGCTATCATAAAAATTCCTGAGGCTAGGTACTTATAAGGAAAAGAGGTGAGCTAGGCCTGTTGGCTCCCACCTGTAACCCCAGCTCTCAGGAGGTTGAAGGCAGGTTAGTGAGTTTAAGAACAGTCCAGGCTACACAGTGAGTCTAAGTCCAGCCTGAACTACATAGCCTGGGCCCTGTCCCAAAAAACCCAAGGGCTGGGAATATAACTCAGTGGTAGAGTATTTGCCTAGCATGAACAAAGTCCTACATTTCCCAGCACCAGAAAAAAAAAAAAAAGACTTGATTTAGCTCATAGTTCTGGAGGTTCACAGGCATGGTATCAACAATGGCTCAGCTCAGCTTTGGGAGGGCTCTCATGGTTATGTCACATTATGGAGGATTACATCATGATGGTAGAGCCCAAGTGTGAGGAAGAAATCACACTGTAAAACAGGAAGGCAGAGAAAGACTGGAATCCCCCAATCCCTTCTGAGGGCACACCTTCAACTGAGCGAAGGACCTTCCACTAGGCTCCACCTATTAAAAGTCCAACCATCTCCCAACAGTGTCATGAGGACTAAGTCTCTAACACATAAACCTTTGGAGGGTGAACCACATCCAAACTACAACTATAAAGGATCTTTAAAAAAAAGTCATGGAAACAGAGAAGAGAATGGTATGAGGGAAAGGGAAAGGAGAAAAGTAGGTTAAGGGTACAAACTTACAGTTGTGTAGGATGAATTAGTCTAGAGATCTAATGGGCAGGGTGGGCACCCCAGCTAATATTGTATTGTATGCTGAAAATGTATTTAAAAAGTACATTTTAGGTGTCCTTACTACATACACATGTAACTGTGATATGACAGATATGCCAACTTGCTTGACCATTTCACTGTATATACCAAAACATCATGTTGTACACACAACTTAAGTACATACAACTTAAAAAAAATTACCAGTGGAGAGAAAGAGCTAGCAATGAAGTATGTATACGTGTGGCTAGCCTGAGCAGGAACAAGAAGGGGTCAGCACTGGATTCCTGTCAGGATCTCAGTTGGAGGCTGTCAAGTAGGGAAAACTAAGTAGGGGGCACTGTTCAGAAGAGAAGGCTGTTGGTCATCTCCATTCAGGAATGTTTAGTGGCAACAGCCCTGACCCAATCTGTTAAAAAAGTTGCCTTCATGCCCCCAAGCTGCTCTTACTGGCCTCCCCTAGTGCCAAGGTTTTTTCCATAAAGCATTTGAGAGGCTCCTCTATCTCTGCCATGCAAGACATCCAAGGCAGCTATTAATGAATATGTATCTAGCCAGGCAGCCACATTCCTAGGCCATTGTAAGTGAAAGATTCATGGCCCACTGTCTGAAATTTCCACAATTTCTTTTCACCAGAGCACATCCTGTCCCTTCTCCAAGATGCCAGAAGCTGGCATGGAGAGGTCATGGGAGGCACTCAGGAGGACATTTCTAGAGTCTGAATCAGTTACTTATGCCCTCTAGTTTAGAGAGAAAAATAAACAGAAGCAAGTGTTATATCTGAGTTAGGCCTTTTATCATTTAGGTCTGTCCATCCATCCATCTATCAACAGTGTACTTCCTCACTTCTTTGCACTAAGGACGGAGAAATGACTCCTGCCCATACTGGCCATGTAGGAGTTCACTGAATGCTTCCCTTGTTTAAAGGATGCTCTCATGAAAAAAAACCTACTTACTACACTGCAGTCTGGTTTGCATGTTATTAAGAGATGAACACATAATGAAAATGATATTTTATTGCATCATTTTACTGACTAGAACGCCAGACTTATGGTGAATATAAGTATAAAAATAACCAAATTCTTACAAATAATACTTTGCTGCTACAGTACTGAATAATTAGTGGAGGCTGCAATTATAATACAACTTTAAATAACATTCTCATAATGGATTTAACACAATCAACCAGGGTCTGAGATTTAAAGATTTACAAAGAGGAATCCAGAACAATGTGAAAACTCAAACAGTTCAAACTCCAGCTACATGCTCCACATAACCACAAATCCAGAAACACAAACATTAACAAAACTCACAGCAACTCATGATGAAACAATCATTTTCTTTTTAGAACAGGCCTGTGTAGTACAGAAAGATAAGTAAGCTGGATCAGTTTCCCAGACAAACAGGTTCTATCCCATCCCTGTCCTGTTCCATTGCCTACCTAAAAATTCTGCACTGAAGTGCATTAAATACATCATTAATAATTACAAAACCAGAATCTAATAAGCAACACCTTTGAAATGTTCTTTTTGAAAATGCCCACAGGGCAGATCCAGTGTAGGATCTGTCTCTTTTTAGACCTAAAAGATTTCCTTTGGTTTCACAGGCTTTTCTGCAAGCTAAGGTTTCCATCAGATATGAAAGAGAGTAACACTACTGAGATACTTAAGTACAGCAAATTAACTGGCATTTAATACTTCAATGTTTCTATTTTAACCAGTTTTCTTCTTTGGGGATTTGAGAAAAGAAAAAAAGAAAAAGAACACATACCCAAAGGCAAACTCTACAAAACTATTTTTGTTTCCAAAAAAATGCACGTGAAAAACTTAGAATTATGTTTTGTTAAGAAGAAAGAAATGATCATTCATGGTGGTACATGCCTGTAATCCCAGCACTTGGAAGGCTGAAGTGGGAGGATCATCAGTTTGAGGCCAGCTACAGAGTGAGACCCTGTCAGAATGTCAGAAGAAAGAAGAAGGAGAAAGAAAAGAAAGGAAGAAGAAGAAAGAAGAAGAAGAAGGAGGAGAAGGAAGAGAAAGAAGAAGAAAGAAGAAGGAAGAAAGAAGAAGAAAGAAATGAATGTCCCTTCCTAGCCCCACAAAAGCTTTCAGATAAAAAAAGAAAAACCAAAAAAACCAAAAAGACTGTGATCCTAAAGGCAATTTTAAATAAATTACAACATACTGAAATACTGAAATTCTGAACTTGGCATTCCTCCACTAGAAGACTAGTGCTCCAGTCTTCTAAACTAGGGGTCAAACCCCTAGTTTGGGTATGTTGGGCTAAACTCAGCTAAGGGTAAGCAACTCAATGGTACAGATCTATTTATTCAGGCAAAGTTCCACAGCTGCAGGGTACCTGCACACTTCACCAAGGGCAAGGTGGCTTAACAAGACACCAAAAAGCCATGTGGTTGCTAGGCATGACCCTAGTGTACCTGCTCTGGAACTTTCACATCTGAATACATAGGATTCTTCAAAGACTGGCTAGGTGGCTGTCAAATTCCAAAGACGCTGCTCTCTCCCATCAGCCAGCATTTAAGAGTTACCTCTTCAAGAACTCAAACCACACCTTGGGTTTTTTGTTTATTTGTTTTTACCTCAAATGCTAGGTTGACTGCATCATCCATTCAGCAATTATGGCTCCAAATGACTTAGCAGCTTCTGAAAATAACCTTTCTCTCAAAAGAAGGAGACTTATCAGCCTTTAAGACATTCAACTAGGTTTCCAATTCTCATGATGGTTCACAAGAATACACTCCCAGTATGTGGGAGCATGGTTTCACTATGGGAACAAGTCAGACAGCTCTCAAGGGATGTGCAAGTCTGGCTATGCTTGTCAAAACCCTACCCAGGCCATCATCTCACACTTACTATACCACAGTCACGTACCAATATGCTCTTCTGAGCACAAGCCCACCACCAATTCTTAATGATGACAAGTGTCCAAGAAAAATATGTACAAACCAACCAGAAAGGACATTTTGACATTTTGAAAAAGGTGCTTAGTACTTTTGTACTTGATGTCATCAGCTTGGTTGGTGTTCACTAATGTCAAGGCTCTTCCAAAGGTAATTTTTTAGGTCCACTGTCTCTTGCCCTCTACAACACTGAAGGCACACTGCACAGGGAGGTGTCTGTAAGCAGGGTGAGATTCCTCCAGGGAGATCTAGAGGAATAAGCAACAGGAAGAGTCAGGCAGACTGGGGTTTGAATCCTGCCTCTATGAGGCAAGTTGTTTATCCTCTCTGAAGGTTTCTATGTCCAAGAAATGAGCACTCTCACGGCCAACTAACAAGGCTGCTATGAGGCCAAGTACCTTGTGTAGAACCTGGACATGACAGGAACACGAGACATTGTTTATCCTCCTCAGGACATAGGCCTCAGTGCCCTGGACTGGCTCATGGAGCAAAGAGGATAAGAAGGGAAATAAGACTATTAAGAGCTTAAAATCCAGAATTGCTGCTGGGAAGGAGGGATGACAACCCCCGCCCCGAGACACATGCACCAGCATGCACCTAGAGCACAGGTTTCACTTGCCTGGCTCTCCCCTACAGAAGCATCTTATGGACAGTGTTGCTTTTCCATTCTTTCCACTTCCTCAGCTATGGGGCCCTATTGCAGGGCCAATGCATTTATGTGCACATGATTGCATGTTACAGGTGTGGGGCCTGACACTGAGCACTTGTCCCTCAGCTGAGATCCTGAGTGTTAGGTGTGGGTCCATCCAGTCTTTCTCTCCTGTCCATGGGCTGCTGACATCCTACCAGCTGTTTCCTTTTGGCCCAAGCAAACCCTTCAGGAGCTACTACCTCTAAGTGGGAGTGAACTCAGCCTCTCATCCTCACCCATAGTTGACAAGGAACACTGGTTAACAGTTAGGCTCTTTTTGAGCCTTCTCCTAACTCAGGATGCTTTCCCCACCCTCCTAGACATTATAGATGCTATGTGAATTCAATCTTGCTGCTGTTCCCTTTTTTCACAGTAGATAACAAACAATAAAGCAAAACCATCTTAATCTACTATATGGACAAAACTCATGAAGAGGCAAGCACTTTTGGAACTCACAGGACACTCTTTGGGAGTTCTTCCCAAGAATGCTTCGGAGACAAAGTACTTCATTTTGTGAGGCTTAAGGCTTCTGGTCCTCATACAGAAGATGATCTGCCAGCTGTGATGTCAGCTGAAGGCAGCAGATATGTGTTTCTGGGGACAGCTAACAGGATAGCTTCTCTCATAGCAGTGAAGCCCCAGGGAGAGCAGGGATGCCACATAAGGAACTGGGGTGAGGCTGTCTCACAAGGAATCCAGGTGTGTTGGCTCAGGTGAGCCGAGGGCAGGAGCACAGGGCTCTCCAATTAGATGTGAGGCACAAACAGCCATTTAGTTTCACAGATACATTCGAGACCCAAGATTTGAAGATGGTGAGGCATTGAAAGTTTAAGTTAATCTCCACTGACAGCAACGGAATTCATCTTGTGAGATGAGTGCAACTTAACTACCAAAATCCAGGGCACCTGATTAATGGTCCCACTCTAGCAAGTGATATGAGTGGTGGGGATTGTGGGACACAGAAGTTCACACTTAAAACAGATTGCATATGTTTCGAAGAGATCAGAGAATCTTGAAGAAACAAACATGCCCTGGGCAGAACTGTTTCCAATAGCTACACCATTTCCATAAATGTGTGCCACAGAGCTCCCAGTTCCAGGGTGGGGACAATTTTTTAACTTCTGTGTTCTCTTCACTTCATCCAAAACCAGGATGTTTCACAAAAAGAAAATGAATATAGTTCCACAAGGAATAGACACTGAACACTGGATATGCCTGCCATGCAGGACCCAGTCACAGGCATAATAAACAAGACATGGAATTTCCTTCCCCAAAAGCAAGCTCTGAGATCCCTAGCCAGCCACTCTTCAGTTCTCCAATGCTGACTTACACTGTAACTGTATTTCCAGAGGGCACTACATAGGAGCATAATGAGGTACCAATGACTAGGTGAGAGAAAGTAAGTTATTTCTTCAGTGAATAAATAGCTTTGAATGGTTGAAAGTTTACAGAGTTTGTGGGTGAGATTATGAACACAGCTTGCTTACCTGTGACTCCATCCTAGCTCCCTATTCTTCTTCAGGAATCCTCATGACTTTCCAAGCCCTGGTGATGCAAGAAATCTAGTCTATTCAGCCCATCCCCCTAATCACATTCAGCTGCAGGGACTGTAGAAGGCTACCTTCCGTCAGTGGTGAAATGCCAGCACACACCCACCTGTGCTTAGTTTTTTTTTTCTAAAGCATCCATAGTAGCCTTTGGTCATCATAATTGTGGTCAGAGTCCCAGGTCCCTTGCAGTAACCTCATGGGTGAAAAGTGCCCCACTGCATTCAGGGCCAGCCCCTGATTCTGCCTGCTGGGTCTCTCTAGAGGACAGCTGGATGTCTCTTAACTAAAACCAAATCTAAGTTGTTTTGCCTTGAGCCAGACTTGCTTGAAAAGCAAGATTTAACTGTAAAGGGGTTAAAAAAATCTTAAATAAATGTGTCACCTTGACTTAGACAAATGGAAGTTGTGTGGTGTGCCTTACAAATGTCAATTCCTCATTTAGGGGGTTGGCTTGGAAACTAGTATAAGACAACCTAGAAACACTGAAATACTGTACATTTGATTGCAGCAGCATCAAATCTGTGGTATGTTCCCCACTCCATCTGTTTTTCAGCACGGAGGCACCAGGCAGGAAAATAAAGTGTCAGCACCTGCTGCAAATTAATCACCAAATTTAGCCTACGGAAGTGTCTCAGGAAAGGAAGCCTCTTTTCTGGATCAGTCTTGAAACAAATTCAAAAGGAAACCTCCCTGCCCAATTTACTAAAGTGCAAACTAAGGGAAAACTGGGTCCTTGCAATGATACCTAGTGGTCTGCTGTGGCTTTTGCCCCTAGGCACCAGTGCCATGTTGCAGCTCAGACTCTCTTGATACTGGCCCATGTTCACGTTCACAGTAACAACAAAGGTGCCAAATGAGCAGCCTGAGTTCCACATCCTCTGTCCCCTTCCACTGTGGTCACGCCCCTCACACCTGTTCCTCTTTCTGCTTGCCACTTATGTGTGGCTCTGACAAGTCCTGGGAGTGGCCAGTGCACATTGCTCCCTTGTGGTGCATTGCTCTGAGCCACAGAGGTCCCAGGGAACTGACCCAGGGCAATGGGCCCTCTTTCTCTTGGACTCAAAAGTAGTCTCTTCTCCTGCTCTCATCACTGATGAAAGATGGATTGTACTGTCCCGGGAAAATGCAAGAATGCCGTGATCCAGGCAATCCAGTGTACGCTGGGTAGAGTCCATTTCGTTCAAGTTCAGGATTCCTTACATTTGTGGGCTGGATGACAAAGAGAAAAGAAGCCAATTATTCTCCAATTTAACTTTAAGTGTAAAACATTCTACATTCAGTATGAAACTTTAATGCAGGGGTGCATGGGGGCTTGGGCTGCATACAAGTGTTAACTGGGGCCAGCAATGACTAGACTGTTTGAGGTGCTCATGGTTCTGGGATGGGAGAACACGGCGTCCTCATCCATGCCAGTGAAGCTAAACTCTGGACTGTCATACACGAGACCACAGGGGCAGAAGACAAGGAACTCTCAATGACCATTAAGACACACAAGGTTCACAGTTTTTACAATCTGTTTAGTCATAAAACCAAGATTGGGGTGGGGCTGGGCAATGTGATTTTTTAACCACCAGAAAAAAAGAGGTGGGGGGATGCTTGTCCAAGGGTGAGGACTGAGAGGCTGCAGAGACAGTACCATGGTGGCAAGGGATCCCATGGAAACAGGAATATTGCACTGAGCCAGGTGCGGGGATGGATGTGAACCTGTCAGGATGGCATCGGGTGGACAGATGCTGGAAGGCAACACAGGGAAATTCCACCCTGTTGGTCTCAGAAAAAAATGTCTCTCAGTTCTCACGTATAGGAATTCAGACACTGTTTATGGTTGGAGCAGTACCAGGTAAAGGGAAGATGGTGATGAGGGTGTTTACAGATTTCTATTGGGGGGAGAGATGGGTGGGTAGGGCAGGAGCCGACAAACATCATAAATGGGTCTTGTCTTTATGCCCTTCCTCCCACAATAGTAAGTAAGTATGGTTCCATGAACATAAAAATGGAAACATCGTGATATCTAGGGGACTTTGCAAATCTCTCCTACTTGTAGACCTCCACTCATAGTTCTAAACTAGATTTACTTAAGGGTTGCACTCTAGGGAATGCCTCAGAAACATGCAGGGAAGCTGGGTCTCATGACATCGCAGGCCTGTTTGTGCTGTGATCACAACACACTGGGGACAAGGAGTCCCTAGCAAGAATGTGGCTGGTGTGCCTGGGGGAAAACACCTGCATAGTTATGACTTCAGTTAGGAAAGGAAAAGAACTTTCCTGATAGAGAAAAACAAAGCCCTATGCAGAACTAGTAACGGAAACATTTTAACCAGAGCCTAGTTTTCAGCTACATTTATCTTTCTTTTTTCTTTTTTTTGTGGTACTGGGGCTTGAACTCAGGGCCTACACCTTGAGTCATTCCACCAGCCCTTTTTGTGAAGGGTTTTTTTGAGACAGGGTCTCATGGAACTATTTGCTCAGGCTGGCTTTGAACCATGATCCTCCCTATCTCTGCCCCCTGAGTAGCTAGGATTACAGCTACTCAGCCAGCAGCAACTGGTTTATATCTTTCTTATTTCTTGTTCTTCCTCCAAGTCCAAGTTTTTCAAAGAGCACACTGAAACAAACAGCTCCTTAGCATGAACAAATGCCCCTCCCATCCAAAGTCTGATCTTCATGGTTAATTCCTGTAGCAACCAAAGGGACTGTGGTTTCTCTAATGAGACTTTCCTGCCATTAATTCCACACAGGGCAAGGTTTCATGTTTATTGCTGTTAACTTGTACTGATAAGTCACTTGACATCTGTTTATTTTTCAGTTCAGATATCCTTGTTAGCATCTGCTTTACCGTTGACACGGTGTTACAAAAGGAACCTAGGAATAAGACTTGGGTTAAATTTAATGTGGGACAGAAGCAGCCAGGGCTCAAGGTATTCTGTCATTCCAATTGATGTAGTTCAGGGCTGAAGAGGGCAAATTATTAAAGATCTACTGAATTTATAATCCTCTAAATCTCTGAAAACTTCTTGTTGAGGATGATGACAGTGAATTGTTTTCTTTATACCTTTTCAAACACCTAGTTTTAACTATCTGACCACATAAGACAAGGTAAAGAATGGTAAACAGGAGATAAAAATGAAAGGGTGAAGAGCTAAATACCATTAACCTCTCTCTTTACAGTTTACATTTCTACAATTTAAAATCAAGTTCACAGATTACTGCTACCACCCCATAAAAGTAACGTGCTACTTGGAAATGTCCTTCCTACCTCAGTGCCTACTGATAAATACATGCAAATAGATCATAAACAAATTGAACATTACAATATATAAGTGAGATTCTGGTGCCACCATTCTCTCCAAGGCTTAACTAGCTGGTTAAGCAAAACAGAACTCCTTTTCTTCTCTGAGGAGATAGGAGCCCAAGGCTGCCCTGGGCACAGGAATACACACCGAGTAATACACATCTGTCATCTGGAGGAGGTTTTTGGTGCTTCCGTTCTCATGCATTTCAATAGCTTCTCGACCCCATTCTTGTGATCGAGGGTTCTTGGGATACTCAGCATATGGGGACATCTGGAAATCCCCACTTTTGAAGATGAGTTTGCTTATGTCATTTTTACTCTTTCTGTGAGATAAAAAATATTTGAAGAGTTCTATGAATAAGCTCTGTAAAGAAATGATATCTATGAAAATACCAACCATTACTTTACAACATAAATTAAGACTGAGAGCTATCACTACTATTTCTGTGTAGCTGCCCCCCTGAGGAATGTTGCTATTATTAGCAGTATTTGCCTAAACATGTAAAAATGCAAGCAGGAGAAAGAATGCAGAAAGACTTCCAACCTAAAGGAGGGCAAGAGCAAAGACAGCTGCAACAGAACTGTTGGACTCAAGGGGTGGGGATAGGGATGGACAGAGGTCACTGTGTCTTGGAGTAGCCAGGAGACAAAAATCAGAAGTTCCATAGGAGGGAAATTCAGTGGCACTAGAATTTACATGGGAAGACTGGGGTCAGGAGCTCTGGGGATAGGGCAAGTCTGGCTCATTGAAGACACCTGATTCAAGCTCTGGGTCACCCTATGCTACTAGCAAAGTTGGCACTGGAATCAGGCCTTCCACCTTTCCAACCAGTGTTCTTTCTACTACGCGAAGCTACTTCGCAAAAACAGGATGTTTTTTCACAACAAAGGTCACCCACATTTTCATTTCAGCCACAGAAACCCTATTGTGAAGTTTCACTGACTAGACATTGTTAGAATATATATTCTATACCTATCTAATGGACCTAGACAGAAATTTTAAATTATATTTGCTTTTAGTAAGATAGTATGAAGTTTTTCCTTCTCCTTTACTTACCTATAAGTAAATTTTCTGGGAAAGGCACAAAATGACCCAAGGTCATAAAACCAAATGTTTAGCAATGTGGCTTAAGGTGTTGGCCCTTTCAGCAAGTTCAAAGCAGACGGGCTCCTATCTCAGCAGGTGGAGTATTTGGTCTCAAACAATGACTTTATTGTTTATAACTACTGTACCTTGCCTTCTCAGTAACCAATATTCACAGGCTCTTTCCCAAAATGACTGTGCCATGTGGTTATAGACCATGTTACAAAAATGAGGTTTATATCCATTGAGATCTCAGGTTTTGTCCCTCTTAGGTAACTGCTCCTAGTTCGTAACATATGTGTGTTTCCACTCATTACATTCAAAAGGGCAGTTATGGCAAATTGTTCTCTGTGGTCTTACTGGAGATAGAGAATATCTTAAAATGTCTTTCATGTCAATGGTGGAAAAGGTAACATAATTTTAGAAGTTTCCCTCTATCTCTTATTTGCAGATAAGTCTTGTCATTTTTCTCATCTATATCAAAGGTCAGAATTTTCCTTTATCTGAACAGATAATCACAGAGAAGGGAGATCAACTTCCTTCTTTCTCTTCCTTTCTTAGTAAGAACCCAATCCCAATGGCTTCCAAGGAAGCCTACAGCCAAGTTTACTGCTCATCCTGGGTTGCTGCTACAACTTCTCTACTGTTAAAATATTCTGGGTAATCCCTATCAGAGTTTTATTGCAGTAAGTTCATAGACTCTATATGATTCCCACTTAATGTTTTTAGCATACTGAAAAGTTGTGCAGCCATCATCACAATCGATTTTAGAACAGGTCACCATCACCAAAAGAAACCTCAAACCCCTCCTCCTACAGTACCCCAGCCCCAGGCATTCACTAATTTACTTTCTGTTTCTATTAGATTTGCCTATTTTAGACAGCTCATAAAAATGGAATCACACCCTAGATCATCTGTTGTGACTGGCTTATTTCTTCACTCAGCATAATATTTTTAATGTTCATCCATGAATCCGTGCTTCTTTCCTTTGTATGGCTCAATGATAGTCTACTGTATTGCTGCATCACATTTTGTTTATCTGTTCATCAGCTGATAGACACTGGGATTATTTTTACCTTTTGGCTATTATGAATAATGTTATAAATATCCAGGTACAAGTTTTTGTGTAGATATGTTTTTGTTTCTCTTAGGTATATACCCAAGACTGAAAGCACTGTATGAGATGTTTTCAAAGTGGTTGCACCATTTTACATTCCTACCAGCCATGTATCAGGATTCTAACTTTTCCACATTCTTACCAACACTTGTTATTTTCTATTTTTTTAAAAATAGCCATCCTAGTGGTATGACGTGGTAGCTCTCTGTGGCTTTGATTATATTTCTCTGATGATTAATGATGTTGAACATCCTTTCATGTGCTTACTGGTCATTTGTATATCTTTTTGGGAGAAATATCAATTGAGTTGTCTATTACTGACTAATAAGAATTCTTTCTATTTTCTAGATGCACATTTCTTATTAATGATTCAATATTCAGCTATTTATTTTTTTATTTTCTCCCATTCTGTGAACTGACTTTTCACCCTTCCTTGCTTTTTTTTAGACAGGGTCTTGCTATGTAGCCTGAGCTGGCCTTGAACTTATGATCCTCCTGCCTCAGCCTCCAGGTGCTGGGATTATAGACATGCACCACTATACTTAGCTTCACTTTTTTTTTTTTTTTTGGTGGTACTGGGGTTTGAACTCAGTTCAGTTGAACTTCACATTTGCTAGGCAGGCGCTCTACCACCTGAGCCATGCCGCCAGCCCTTTTTGTTCTGTTTATTTTTGAGATAGAGTCACACATTTATTCCCAGGCCAGCCTGGACTAAAATTTTCCTATACCTGGGATGATAGGTGTGGGCCACCATGCTCAGCTTTTTTTCTGTTGAGATGGGGTCTTCCAAACTTTTTTGCACTGACTGGGCTAAGCTCGATCCTCCTGATCTCCTGGGTGGCTGGGATGACAGGCATGCACCACCAGGTCCACCTATTGGTTGAGATGGGGTCTCACAAACTTTTTACCTGGTTGTCCTCAATTGTACCTGCAATCCTCCTGATCTCAAATAGCTAGGATTATAGGCATGAACCACCAGCATCTGGCTTTCACTTTCTTGATAGTATTCTTTGCACAAAAGTCCCCATCCCCCATGTGCTGGGGATTGAACCCAGGGCCTCATATATGCTAGGCAAGTACTCTACCACAGAGCCCCAGCCATAGAACTTTAAAAGGTTTTAATTTTGTGGCTAGGCATGGTGGCTCACACCTGTAATCCCAGCTACTCAGGAGACAGACATATGGAGAATTGTGGTTGAAGGCAGTCTAGGCAAAAAGTTATCGAGAGCCCCATCTCAACCAATGGGTGGGTTTGGTGGTATATGCCTGTCATCCTAGCTATATCAGAAATGTAAATAGGATGACCACAATCCAGGCCAGCCTAAACAAAAAAATGATAGACCCTATTCAAAAAATAACTAAAGCAAAAAGGCTGGGGGTGTGGTCTAAGTGGTAGAGCACCTGCCTAGGAAGTGTAAGGCTCTGAGTTCAAACCCAAATACTGCCAAAAAATGTTTTTAATTTTACTGAAGTTCACCTTATCTTTTTTTTTTTTCTTTTGTTGGTTGTGCTTTTTGGATTTTTGTTTTTTTGGTGTACTGGGGTTTGAACTCAGGGCTTTGCACTTGTTAGGCAGGTGCTCTACCACTTGAGCCACGCATCCAGCCCTGGATTTTCTTGTTTAATAAAGAAAATAAAGTCCCATTTACTCTCTTTCTTTTCCCTCAGGCACCAACTATTATGAATTTCTCTTTCTCCTTTTTAATGATTCACTCACACATTGTGATTTAATATTGCAAATTTCCTCCAGTATTCTTTAGGAAGGAAAAATGACCCTTGCACAGCACAGGCAAAGAAACAAGATTAGAGTTTGAATTCTCATCACTTACCTACAACAGGTAACAATCAGTGCGATGCCTAGGATGAGGAGCAGCCCGCCTCCTGCTGCTGCAATCACCACAGTGATAAGCTGATAGGCTAAACATGTTAGACAGACAGAAAAGTGGATTGGTCAGAGGTAAGGATGACTGGAAAGAAGACAGAAGACTCTCCCCTGCGACCCCACCACAGCCACCACCCTGCCTCAGCTGGTGACCTCAGCTTCCAACCCCTGATCAATGGGTATCTTTACATCTTCTCTGTACTGAGAAGCCACTCCTAGAATGGTGGCTCCTAAATTCTACCTGCAGAGAGTAGCCCCTGATGACCCTTCCTCCAACCCATAGTAAAAAGAAAAACAAAGGTGAATGGTGAGTTTTTTTAAATAGCTGTTCTACTTCTTGAGGATACCCCAGCTCTTTTGTTTTTAACCTGAGCTGGCCTCGAACTTAAGATCTCCTTCTGTCTCTGCCTCCTGAGTAGCTGGGATTATAGTCACATACTACCACACTCAGCATTTTTTTTTTTTAAGTAATGGAGAAAACACAGAATCTTTTCTTGACCACTTTTCCCTCTTTGGTGTTAACTACTGTTAGTATAGTTGACTTGATGGTGATAGACAGTAGATATAAAAATTCTTGATTCAGTTTTAGGGTCTTACTTGATAAAACAAAAAGGAGGCAACCCTAAATTAGACTCTCCAGTTTTGTAAGAAACACTATTGGTCAGTTAAGTTCAAAGTCTGGGTAATCATTGCATAAACCATGATAGGCATTGAGCATGCTCCTTAATACACTGAATTTAATCACCAGAAATTAGCAGTGACATAAGCAAGCACATATTATATACAATAAACACTAAAAGTTTTAGTTAATTGGATTTTATACCTGTATATTCCTGGAAAAATTATTTTCAATAAATTCTATTAAATATTCAGACTGAATTTTTTCTTGTGGAAATATAAATAAAACTGTGTTCTCAGGTTGCAAGATACAGGATGAAGGGCCAATAACCAGATTTTCTGCAGTAAATTAAGACTGGAACTACACTCTCTAGGCATTCAGGTAAAAAACAACCCCCGTCCCTGTAAGTCCCCTGTAGCTAAGCTCCTGGATGCAGTGCCGTTTCTAAGGACAGTGAGCAGACTATGAGCAGAATATGTATACATACAAGCTATGCAACCTGTCACCTATTCTTTTATTTAAATAAATAGCACACAAACCAGATTATTGTGAAAAAACCATCAGTGCTGCAATATTCAGGACACAAACTTAAACCATGGATTCATTCTCTTCCTTACCTCCTGACATGTATTCAGAAGCTTCTCTTTTAACAAAAGTGAAGACAAAAGGCAAATTTCTTGAATGTATCCACTTTTCTTCATCTCACCCAACACTGCCTTAAGCTACCATCATCATTTATGAAGAGGTGGATAACTGCCTCCTACCCAGGCTTCCTGCCCCACTCTTATCACTCATTGTAAAAAGCAAGCCTGCTCATGCCACCTCCCTGCTTCCAAAACCTTCAGCAGCTTCCTCTGTCCCTACATAAAGACCAAAGTCTGGCTCCTGCTTATCCCTCTACTTCAAGAAGCTACAGTTTCTCACTCCCAGTAAAACAAGCAAACATCCATTTTAGAAGTGATCCTTGCAAGTGGCTACAGGTTGCAGCAGGTCTGTTTGAAACACGTACTTCTGTATCAAAAGCGGCCTAGGGCACACCAGTTCTTCTGTAACTATCCTTGCTCAAGGACTAGTTTTTGTTTGTCTATTTGTGCTTTTGTATATCTTTTTATTTTTATTTACCTTTACTTTTTATTAAAAATTTTTTTGAGATAGGGTTTTGCTATGTAGCCGAGGTTCGCCTCCATATGCAGCCCAGGCTGACCTCAAACTCGATTCTTTTGCTTCAGCCTCCTGAGTACTGGAATTACAGGTATGTACCAGATTTTGGATATCTTTTAAAATAAAAGTCTTTTTTGCCCCCTAATCTTTCCCCACAGGCACCAATTATCACAATTTTCCTTCTCTTCTTTTTTAAAGGAGTTAACTGGACAGATAACATTTGTAAAAGATACTTTTTTAAAAGTTCTCATGCTTGCATGTCACAGCCATGTCAAAATACTTTTAAGTGCCTATGCTCCGTTTCTGTGTTATCTGTTCACATTACAGACAGCACATACTCATGGAGACTGTGCTTTTCAAACTTGTATGAGTGTGTGAATTATCCACAAGCCTCATTAAAACACACACTCCCAGTCCCCGCCCCAAGAGATTTGACTCAACCACTCTAGGCAAGAGCTCCTAAGGTGCGTTCCAGGGTGGAGGGTGCTATGGCCTGTGGACATTACACAGGAGAAGAAAAAACATGGGAATGAAGTCAAGACTGCCCCCCTCCATATGAGCAGAGAGAAAAAGTCTAGATGTTCACAAAATTTAGTACTACTTTGGGTAATTATGGCTAACTTTTATTTCCTTCTTTGTGCTTTTCTGCATTTCCCTATTTTTATTTAGATAAATAAAAATATTTTCTATGCATACATACTTCCTCTAAATCTAGAAATTCTGTATGTATATATCTACGTGTCTATCCATTTATCTATCTACAGATATTCGGACAACACCACACACAGATCTTTCTAGAATCATTTCTCAACTGCAGCTTCAGTATTGACTTTTAGCTTTAACATGACGCAGAACTTCATGTAATTTGAATCAATGACAAGCATAATGCTTATTTCCACCTTTGCAGGTACTCTGAATGTTTGGGGGCAGGGTGGTGTACAGGCAGTAAGTGCTGCCTTAGGTTTTTTTGTCCTATCCTTTCTAGTCTGAAAAGATTTTGCAGAATGAAAAACTTGGAATTCTCATATTTTTTTCATAGACATTTTTGACATTTCAGTTTCACAAGCAATGGACCTTTCCCTTAATCTTCACAGCCTGGCATTATTGTTATAATTGTTAGCATTTCTCATTAAACCAACCCACTGTGGGTCCCCACCTTCTCTATAATCTCTATTTGCTTTTGCTTATATGCTTACTTGGAAGGAACCTATTGCCCGCTTAGCCACCTTCCTTCTGGGAACTGTTTACTCCCCTCCATCTGTAGTGAGGTGGTCATGCTTATGGCATGTAACAATATCCTCTGGCCACAGCAGACTGGGAATAAACACATGATCAAACTGCATCAATTGGTTCCTTCCCAGGAATTTCAGACTGGGAAAAAGAGACAGTTTTCTCTTTCAAAATGGCTGAACCAGGGACATGCACTCAAGAGCTGTATGGAACTCTATTTTCTATCACACTGTCAGGGAAGGAGAAAACCTGTGCACAGACACAGAACACAAAGAGCAAAGAGGAGATATGAAGATGGAATCATGTTAGCCTGTGCTCTGAAAAGGCAGCCTTCACTTTTACCTGCCAGAGCCTCCATAGTTCCCTGATTCCTGCCATTCCATGGCTATTTCCACCTTCACTCCAGTAAACATCTTTGCTTACACTAGCTAGGCTTTTCATTCCAGAACCTTAGCCAACCACTATGCCTTCCTTCAAAACTGTATTACAGATCTTTTTAGGTAGACTTGCTAGTTTTATTTTAAAATTCACTTGGATCTTTCCATTTTTTTTCTCACTAGCTCCTTAGTGATGCTTAGAATCTTTCCATTCCTCTTCCATCTCTGTTCAATGCATTTTAAAATTCTCTCAGTGCCATTTAAATTTGCCCTTTTCAAGACTACAGGCTATGTGTGAACATGCCCAGTTGTTCAATGACCTTCACTATGACAATTTACCTTGTGATTTTGTCACTTTCTCCTGAGGTTTCTGGCTCTTCTGTATCGTCAAACAGTCCTTCCTGGCAGTATTCTCCTAGCCTGAAGCCCTGCTTCCCTTCTGTTTTGAGGGGGAGGCCAGTTGAGATGAATGAAATGAACATTTTCAGCTGGATGAGACTCTAACTGACTTCTGGGTAATAAATGATCTCTCCTTCCTAACCAGTTCAGTCTTCCTGGATGTCTGAGTAACTCCTGTCAGCACAGCATTTCTGTATTTTCTGAATCTTTTTATAGCTCCATGAAACAAGAGGGCATGCACAATTACAATATACTTTATACATCTGCCACTAGTCTGTGAGTTATTGTGGGAAAACAGTGGGAATCTTTAAGTGCAATGTTCTGGTTTAACTGGACGGGAACTGTAAATAGGGAAGGCAGGGTCTAAATCCTCCCTGACCATTCTGGTAATCTGGTGGGAAGGAGCCTCCACTGAGGATATCTAGAACTTTTGAAGGGAAAAGATGACCTCCAAAAGGACATGGGCTGAATAAGAAAGAACAGACCAAACTGTCTGTGGCCAGAGAAAAGCAATCTGGGAAAACTATGTGGGTTCTATAACCACAATGACATAACCACAAGATAGATCAATAGCTTAGAGGATAAGAATATAAAAAAGAGATTTTTAAAAGGTAATCAGAGGGAAATGGTCAAGTAAATTATAGAATAGGATAGCACAGAACTATCAAAAGTGGCATTATAAAATTATGGAAATGAAAACATTCTACAGTACACGAGGATTAAAAACAGGTACAAAACAACATATTCAGTGAGACCCAATTCCTTAAAAAAGATATACACAGATACATCTCTGAAAAGGTGGGTAATACCAGTACTTCTCAATGTTTAATATGTACACAATTCTGCATGCTAACCAAAATCTCTAGGTCCAGTAAAATTCAGATTCTGATTCAGTAGAGTGGGGAGGCCTAAAATTCTGATTTCAACAAGCTCCTGGGTAATGCTGATGCTGCTGGTCTCATAGATCACGCTTAAGGACATGTGTGTCTTCACACATGTGAAATGGGTGATGAGACCATTTAGTTCCTTACCTTACACCTATTTTAGAATTAATTTGGGTAAACAAAGGAGAGTTAATTAGCATGCATTGTTTTATGCTGTGCAAAAAATTAGTTAAAAAACCAGGTGGGAGTGGTAGTACACACCTGTAATCCAGCAACTGGGAGACTGGAGGATCATGAGTTTGAGGCCAGCCTGGCTGAGAAAGGGAGAAGGAGGGAAAGAGGGAGAGGGAGAGGGAAAGGGAGGGAGGCAAAGAAAGAAGGAGTGAGAGGGAGATAAGAGGGATGGAGGAAAAGAAAGATAGACAGAGAGAGAGAGAGAGAGAGAGAGAGAGAGAGAGAGAGAGAGAGAGAGAAAGTAAACCAAAGTGTCAGGGAAGATATTAGAAAACTGAGGAGTAACCAAACAAGCAACAGAGGAAATGTGCAATCCTAAGAAAAGAACGGAGGAACAAGACACATGTCTGATAATATATTTGGGAAAGAATTCTGGACAAATGGCATAAGACAGAATTATTAGAATCTGAGGTATATAAGAGAAAAGAAAAAGGAGAGCAGTGACAAGACAGTTGTATCCTTGAGCAGCCTGGGTATGGGTGGCCCTGCCCTGACCAGGCCAACAAGGTTTGTGTATCCTCAGACTCTGAAGACTTCAGAGAAGGGCTTGTCTGCCCTTCTGAAGGATATTCTCTGAGAAGCACAATCAGAAAGCTAACAGAAACTTTTAGAAAGGCAGGGCACAGGTTATGCCTAACCCAGGATATATCTGAGATGGATGACTGCAAGGAACATAGAAGTGAGGGAACCGCAAGGCCACGTGCAAAGCTAGAAAATGCTGGCTTCCCTATCTCATTGGACTTGGGAAGAGAGTGTCCCATGAAGTCTGCGTAGAAAAGAATTTCTTGCCTATAAAAAAATCTGGCCTAAGTCACAGACCCAAGGAAATAACTACTGTCTTTGGTGATCACAGCTCTGCTGTTTGGCACAAAACACCGAGTGCTGAGTCACAGACTCCCAAGGTGCTGTCATCACAGACAGGAATGAAACTGAGGTGTTCCTGACTCCTTAACTAACATACAGGGCTGGGCCCAGATAAGGAGGTAGGTGACAAGTGTCTTTTTAGTATATATACTGCTGAACCAAACACAGGAAGTATGTCTTTACATATTATTACAAGTAATAATATTATCAGCCACTATAAATTATTCTATAACACTAAAAGTAATACAGATGCCAAAATCATAAAATGAAAGCTGGGCCCAGCACTTGGTTGGTGAGGTGGGAGGTGAGGTAGGAAGTGAGGCAGGAGAATCATGAGCTACATAGTGAGACCCTGTCTCAAATAATAAACAAAAAAACGTAGAATGATATTCACACACCACGCTGTAGTAAGCTGTCAGTGCCAGTTACTGAAGGCAGCTGGGAGCCCACAATTCAGACAGGTGCCTGCCCTCTGCTGGACATAATCATGGTGATGAAGACAAATGAGGGAGAAAAAGAAGTCCCAGGGATCTTTGAGAAATTCTAGCTACTTCCAAGACCCACACACAAATGTGTGTGACTTGACTTTTTCCTGACAAAAGAACTTACAAAATATTAAAAGGATGCAGGGATATAGCATCTCCAGACACCTAACAGCTAATTATCCCTAGTGAAAAAAGCACCATGTTACTTAAGAATACTAGAAAAAAGGTACCATGCTACTTAGAATATTAGAGAGTGAACAATGTAATTGTGCATCCCAGGAAGCCCCTTTAAAGCCCAGATAGCCCAGTGAACATAAAATCAGAAAGATCTGGAACCCAGTTGGAAAACTGGATTGTCTAAAAAGTGATTTTCATCTATTTTATTTAAATTTTTTTGGTGCTGAAGATCAAACCCAGGGTCTTGGGCATGCCAAACACACACTCCACCATTGAACTTCACCCTAGTCCAGAAGTGACTTTTAGAAATGAACATGCACAGCTATCAGACTATTTTATATAAGACACCCCCCAAACTGAAGCCTGCCCTTTTGAACGCTGACATTTAAGAGTCTTGGACTATTTTTAAATTTTTTAAAAGTCTGAAGTATGATGATTTCCTTACTTTATTAAGGAATAACTCAGGCTCATAAGTAAAGTCTATGCTTATATGTTTTTATGGCACTATGGTGTCTATGGAGACCACTAAAGTACAGGGGTATTCATTTTATCACTCAGTTGCCTTCGGTTGTTAATGTTTAGAAACTGAACATTAATTCCGTGAGCTCTTCTCTATTCATGTAACTCTAAATATGTTTGTTTTTAGAAGTGAGTCCCTAGTTCTTCTCTTAGGCTCTCTACTTCTTGCTCATTGGCAGTCAGGACAAATCAAATGACCAATCAAAGTCATCAGTAATCATAACTGGCTATGCAATTCCAAATTTCTAGACTCTGGCTTGAGGGTGGCTCCATACTGGGTACACTACGAGAGTGTACATCAGTATTGTACCCCATATTGAATTTGTCTTACTTTATTTTTTACTTATGCTCAAATCTTATTAATGATATTTGCTAGCAGTTAATCTTTATGAATAAAGAAAATACCATCAAGGTCATAAAAGGTAAGGTATGCCATTAGGGAATAGAAACCAGGAGTCTTTACACAAATTAAATAAAATCATGTCTACTTCCAACCTAGCAAACTCAGAATATATACCATTAACACATTTATTTGTAGAGGGACAAATCTATCCTAAAACAAAATCCTGATTGTTACTATTCCTATTACATTCTATTGTAACCTATATCCCAAATTTGTTTCAGAATTTTGTATTTCAAGTTTTCATGTCTCAATCTATATAAGAAAATGTCAGTGCAAGCAATCTTATATGACTCACCACTGCTCTTTTCAAAAAACTGAAGTAGAGGTGAAACACCATGATGCAGTCACTGCCAGAACTCTTCTCTGCTTTGTATTCCACCCTCTGCTTGCAGCAGATGACCCCCAAGTCTAGTCCTAGCCCCTGGTTGGCTCTCTACTGCAAGTCTACAAACTGCCTCCACATTCTCCTGTCTAGTGTTTCCTCATCCTGCTTCTCTGTGCTATGACTCTTGACAGCTCCCAACAGTTTGTGATTAGTCTAAACTCTAGCCTAATGACCCAACTCTCTAATAGTTCAGTCCCCATACACTTTGCCAACCTAATCTTACACTTTTGACCTTTTCCTCTTTGTATATTACAGGTACACCCACTTACAAATTGTGGCTAGAACAACATGGGCCCATGTCTGCTCTAAGACTTAAGTGGTTCCCTCTGCCTAGGACGTCCTTCTCTCCCCATACCTGCCAGTCAAAGTCCTTCCCAACTTCCTTCCAATTCCATCCTCTCCAAGGAAATACTCAAAGGTGTCTTTGCATTCTCTTTCGGGTGTGGTCTCTGCTCCCTCCCTCCCACCTGTGCCTGATTTATCATACTAACTCTCTTAATAATCAGAGCTATTTAGGGATGTTTATCTTCCCTTCCAGACCTTGATATCTGAAAAGCCCCAGGCAAGTCTTTCTTTTTAATCCCCATGCCTCCCCCACAGGACCGAAGAAGACAGTGGACATACACTGACAGAAAAAGAGGAGACAGACACCCCTGCCCTTGCCCAAACACAAATTTCCACTTTGTGTACTTACGATTTCCACAGTTGAGACCACCAAGGCCGAATGGGCAACTGTGAGTCAAGAAAGAAAAAAGAACAAGAATTAGTTTCAAATCTCCAAAGAAAAAAGGGAGGAGACAAATTACCTAAGTAATTTCTTTAATTAGGATAGGTTCTTTATTAGGATGATCTTTATGTTAGGATAGTTTTTATAGTAAGATTTGTAACAATTTCATCAGAGTAAATGAACATGGACCCTACCTCATACAGGTTTCATTTTCAAGCCTATATCCATCTTCACATGCTGAAAGAGAAAAAGAAATCCATAAATGTATCTATTAACCTCTCATGGTCAACCACCCTAAAGTCCACAAGAACATTCTAGAAGAAGGTTGCAAAAAGCTTTAAAATTATCTATAACCTGACCTAAACACTGTTGCCAGCTCAACTTTAACTTTAATCAAGACACTTTTCTTAACCTTTGTGACTTTTAGTTTTCCCTCTAAAAAAGGAAAAAAATAAGAAGGTAATAGTATCTATTTTACAGTTTCTTGAAGAAGATTAAGTAAAATAAGACACATAAATGACTCAGGAATGCCTGGCACATAGTAACAACTAAGTAAATGTTTTTAGTTGTAATTACTGTGCAGTAAATGGAATTCTGGGGGAAGGTCTCTGCAGATGAAGAGTGTCTCCTATGGATCCCTCAATATGCACAAAGACAAATGTTTCACCCACTTTGATATAAATCAAACCTTCAACATGCCATTGGCTCTCTTATCCCTCTTTCATGATAAGAGGTGGAAGCCATGGGTGACACCCTGTGGGACATGGTTCTGGTGTATGTCAGGATTTTATAAAAGAAGGCTCACCCTCTAGTCTTTGCAGGGAACTCTGAACATATCTAGTTATGTCCTAATTGACCCTTGGCCCAAGAAAATAAATAACTTTGAACTCTCTGATGGTGCTGATCCTGGAATGCTGCTTCACCAAAGGATGCTGAGGCCCAGCTAGTCCCTTGCATTAGCAGTCCCCAAATTTAGTTGATCACAGAATACTTTCAATACTATTACACCTCATCCAAACATCATGGGCTATAATGCATGCTTAGATGAAAGCAGACAATGAAAAATGGCCTTGTAGACAAATTCCTTGCAAGGAAAGATAAAAATTTTATTCATGATTAATGCACAATGTAACTGCATAATATATCACAGATAAGAAAAGGCATACAGCACAGAGCCACCATCCCTGAACAGATAGCATGTAAGTGCCAACAGCATGCATGGGCTAGAGGTGAGGATGGGATTGGGGTGCATGCCCTGCAGTCTGGGTCTGGAGGTCTCACATAGTCTTTGTTGTATTCTCTGTTACAGAATTGTGCATAATAGTATTAACTGTTTAGTATTTTAATATTCTTTCTCCTTCTACTTTTTTAATGATAGAAGCTAAATGTTGATGGCATCAATTTTATTGTTATAAACCATCAGTAGAGCTTTGTAGAACACAGTTTGGAAAACATCACTCTAAATAATCTGTAATTTGAAAGCAGATACCTTAAAAGCAACTGAGGCCAATAGGAAAAGGGGACCAGGAACTAGAGAAAAGGTTAGAACAAAAAGAATTAACCTAGAAGGTAACACACATGCACAGGACATCAATGAGAGTCAATGCCCTGTATAAGCTATCCTTATCTCAACCAGCAAAAACCCTTGTTCCTTCCTATTATTGCTTATACTCTCTCTACAACAAAATTAGAAATAAGGGCAAAACAGTTTCTGCTGGGTACTGAGGGGGGGGGGGGAGAAGGAGGGGGCAGAGTGGGTGGTAAGGGAGGGGGTGGGGGCAGGGGGGAGAAATGACCCAAGCCTTGTATGCACATATGAATAATAAAAGAAAAAAAGAAAGAGTTCAAAACCACAAAAATAAATAAATAAATAAATAAATAATCTGTAATTTGAAGCTAGGCATGGTAGCACATGCCTGTAATCCCAGCTACAAGGGAGGCAGAGCTGGGAGAATAATGGTTTAAGGATAACCTGGGCAAAAAATTAGCAAGATGCTATCTCAAAAAACAAGCGAGGCATTGTGGCACACATTTGTAATCCCAGTTACTCAGGAGACAGAAGTAGGAGGATCTCAGTCCAAGGCCAGCCTGAGGAAAAAGCATGAGACCCTACCTGAAAAATAAACTAAAAAGGGCTGGTGGGGGTGGAGGGACGGCTCAAGCAAGTGCAAGGCCCTGAATTCAAACTCTGATACTGCCAAAATAATAATCTATAATAATTTATCTCATGGTAGATCATTAAAGAGCTATGAATGTCCACAGAATCCCTCTTCCTGAGCAGAGGCTTGTTTATTCTCTGGTACTGAGGGTTGTTTATTATAAGCAATGGTCATGGGAAATTCCTATGGCATTTATTGTAGAATGTCATGGTCATTACCATAACACTATTCAGTAACCTTGGTGAGGATGCCCAGAGAAAATTTTTCACAGGTCCCAGTGCCTAAAAAGATGGGGATTGTCCTAAATAACTATACCTTATTTTACAGACCCCCAACTCTTTTTAAAATCATGTTCCTTTTTTGCTGTTGTTGTTTTAGTATCTAAGAACCTGAGTGACCTACCTTTAGAAAACATGGTTTATCTTTCTGCATGTTCACTTTCCTTCTGGCCTCTACAAAGTAGTTAATTTTCCCCTTTGATCTGATTTACCTTTAAAATATTTAAAAATCTAATTACATGAATTTTCACTAATTGTTTCAAATCTTTTATGCCACAAGGCAGAGCATAATCATACCCCATTTAGAGAAGGGATAGCAAGGCCCTGTCTCTGGATCTTTGATACCTTACTAGAGTGGGGCCTTCTTTAAGGAACAAGCTGAGAGCTCCTGCCTCTCCTGGGCTGGTGTAGAAATCATCATGCCTCAGCAGTATGCCTCTCACTATGTGACTCTGCATCATGCTATAGCAGGGAAGCAAAGGAAGACACCCAGGGATGATCCACGGCTCAGAGTATGGGTAGATATGTGGACACTGCTCATTTTTCCACCCATCTTAGCATTAAGGTAGGCTGATTTCACACCAGTCCATTCTATTCTGAACACTTCTTCCTAGAAATGTTTTTACCTTGCATCTACCTACCCAACCCTTATGTGCTGGGTGAGAGCTTTCTACTCCTTGGCTGTCATTCAACCATGTGTAAGGACCATCTGTTGTCCTGTCTGAGAGCTGATGTGTTAGGCTATTTTCATTTAGCTTCAGAAGTAGCCTGACTCCCTGATATAATGACATGATTCTATTTTAGAAGAGCTCATTCAGTCATTCATCAAAGATTGAGTACTACTGCATGCTTGGGGCTGTTCAGGGAGTAGTTAAGGGAAAACTTGTTAGTAAGGCACTCATGTTCTCCTTAGGAACTGCTTTGCAATATGCACACTCCAGGACTCTGACCACAGAGTACTGAAGATGAAATGAATGCAGTAATAGTATGCATATATGCCCAAACTGCACTTCTCCCGCTGCTATGAGAAACAAGCTAATTCAAGCCTTGTGGGCTTTTTTGTTTTAAAAGAAGAAGTAAGTGATGGAATCTTAGTCATTCTTTTGTTCCCTTGCAGGAAACTAAGTTAAAATTCATCAAGTCTTTCCCTACCATATTTGCTATCTTTTTGTCCATGTGTTCATTCAACAGAGTTTTTTTTTCTTATTATTTATATGTGCATACAATGCTTGGGTCATTTCTCCCCCCTGCCCCCACCCCCTCCCTTACTACCCACTCCACCCCCTTTCTCCCCCCCACCCCTTGATACCCAGAAGAAACTATTTTGCCCTTATCTCTAATTTTGTTGAAGAGAGAGTATAAGCAATAATAGGAAGGACAAAGGGTTTTTGCTGGTTGAGATAAGGATAGCTATACAGGGCATTGACTCACATTAATTTCCTGTGCATGTGTGTTACCTTCTAGGTTAACTCTTTTTGATCTAACCTTTTCTCTAGTTCCTGGTCCCCTTCTCCTATTGGCCTCAGTTGCTTTTAAGGTATCTGCTTTAGTTTCTCTGCGTTGAGGGCAACAAATGCTATCTAGTTTTTTAGGTGTCTTACCTATCCTCATATCTCCCTTGTGTGCTCTCGCTTTTATCTTGTGATCAAAGTTCAATCCCCTTGTTGTGTTTGCCCTTGATCTAATGTCCGCATATGGGGGAAAACATACGATTTTTGGTCTTTTGGGCCAGGCTAACCTCACTCAGAATGATGTTCTCCAGTTCCATCCATTTACCAGCGAATGATAACATTTCATTCTTCTTCATGGCTGCATAAAATTCCATTGTATATAGATACCACATTTTCTTGATCCATTTGTCAGTAGTGGGGCATCTTGGCTGTTTCCATAACTTGGCTATTGTGAATAGTGCTGCAATAAACATGGGTGTGCAGGTGCCTCTGGAGTAACCTATGTCACAGTCTTTTGGGTATATCTCCAAGAGTGGTATTGCTGAATCAATCAACAGACATTTGAACCCTACAATGTACTAAGTCCTATTCTAGACACAGTTCTGACTCTTAAGGCACTTGCAGTCTGGTGAGATGCAAACAGATTGTTAAAATTCATTGTGATGCCTGCACGATGGAAGGAAGCTAAGAAAACTATAGGATGGATACCTATTTTAATTTAAATATGCCTGTGCTCCAGCACTGATGGCCAGAAGATGTCACTGCTAACCTATTAGAACCCAGTTGACAGGGCTGTGGCCCATGAACCCCCAGAATCCATTCATGAGAGGCTTGACAGCAACAAACAGTGCTAAGAAGGGGCTTCACGGGCCTACACAACAAGTCCAAAAGCAAATCAAGCTGTCCTTATGCTACTTCTTGGATCACTGGTAAACATAAGATCACTAGTATGGGTGTCATTTAAAGCATGCATATTGAAAATGATAACCTTTTAGGGCATCTCAAATCCAGTCAATCCTCTGCATAAATGGAGGATAGCATGTGTGCATGTTTTTTCTAAATCCTTGCAATTCAAGCTATGCATTAGCATCTTTCTACATATTGTTCTCTGTTATACATACACATATACCTGCTTCTTAGTGTCTCACATAAAGTGGCTTTACAATGTCTATGTCAGACTTTCAAAGCTACATACACAATCAAAGTGGGTGTCCTTCTTGTGGAGATTTTCCAAATGCAATTTCTGATAGCTTTGCTACTGCTAGCTTGTAAGGGGCACAATTTTGAAAGTACTGACTTAGATACAGAGGGAAGTGGCTCAGGCCAGCCAAAAACAAAGGTGGCAGATAGGGCTTTTCTTAAAGAACTGCTCATATGAGTCATTTTCCCTATACACCCATGCTGCTGGGCCACCTTGTATCCTCTGTCCCTAAATGCACAGCACCCCAGCACATTTAGTATATTTTAGGGCTATCACCTTCCCACATGAGGTAGGCTCAACTCCCCAATTCTAAGGAGGACAAGGAACACTTGCATTAAACCAGATGAGAGGGAATTAGGAAGCATTATCTTTGTAGCAAAGCTGCAGTGTGGTATGGCACTGAGAAATACTGTGTACCAGTCTCACACCAGGACTGATGCCCAATTCAAAGGTGGCTCTCCTCTTCAAAACTCATCACAGATCTCACCTGAAGGGCTGGTGATGTCCACTTTAAAAGAATTTTCTATCTAAACTTGACAAGGTCAAAGGGTCTGAAGCTTAGGATGAGAGCACTGTCCCAAAATATATTTTTGTATTATTTTGATGATACAAGTCTTTCAATGAGAAGTCCTGACAGAGATATGTGACATGTTACCTTGTCCCAGTATGTGACTTTTTTACTCAGATTCCAGTACATCTGTCACCAACAAGGTGTTGACTAAGCAGGAAATCTATGCCATCCACATTCTAACAGGAGGCAATGCTCAAAGATCCATAAAAAACTAGCCTTTATATTGCCAGTTTTTCTGACAATCATGAACAGCAGTAGCCTTTTATGTCAGGGTACACAGTGTCTGGACCTGAATTAATTTTATTTTAAAGCAACAGTTTTGGACTACATTCACTGGGCAGTCTTTACGTCAAAGTGAATGAATTTAAGCCTCACCTATAAAGTTAGCAGAATTAGGCTTTCTACTCTGGAACACTTTATGATTCTTTAAAAAGTGTAATTCACTAATTGAACAACCTGGGAAAAATACAAGAGCCAATGCCTATAGCTTACAAAGCATCTCTATACACACTACCTTCTTTAATTCTTAGGGTATCTAATAAAGTATCCTTATGCTCATTTCACAGAAGAGGAAAGTGAGGCTCAATGAAATGAGGTGCTTGCCTAAGATGAAGCAGAGTGGGGCTCTGACTCAGGTCTTCTGGACTTTAGGAGAGTACACTGTTAACTAAACAATCAAGGCTGCCCCTAAAAGAGTCAGGCTGTCTCCATGCTTGTCTTTCCATGTTAAAAGACTAATAGGCAATGGATAAATCTTTGGGAATTAAAACAAACTTTTTCTAACTTCCTCTAAGTGAAAAAAAGAAAAGGCATTGCTAACACAAACATTCCATTTTCTTTTCTTTTCTTTTGAATCTTATTGGCTAGACCAGCACACACTAGTCAGAGATAACATTATTATTCAAGGAGATAATGTATTTAGTCCTGCTGTGAGCAAAATAACAAGAACCAGTCACCTCCATTTAGAAGAGTCACACCCAGAGCAGAGAGAGCATCAGGCAGAGAAAAGCACCCTCTTGTCCTGGGATAGGGCCCAGAACCACAGGCAAACCTATCACTCTACCTCGGCAGGAGTGATCCATCTTGTTGAACTGAAAGTAGCCTGACTTGCACTGGCACAGCGCAATGCCATCCAGGTCAGTGCAGATGGAGGTCTCTTTGTCACATTCTGGACTCTTACGTTTGCACAAGCTGCCCGCTGGAATGGAAAAAAAAAAAAAGACAATGAAACAGTCAGGTGCCAGTGGCTCAAACCTGTAATCCTAGCTACTCAGTAGGCAGAGATCAGGAGGATCATGGTTTGAGATCACCAGGACCAATAGTTTCTGAGACCCTATCTCAAAATACCCAACACACACACACATACACACACACACACACACACACACAAAGGGGCTGGAGGAGAAGCTCAGGCAGTAGAGTGTGTAGGTCTCTAAGTTCAAACAAAATATAAAATATAACCTCCTCTACCTCACACTTTAAGATACATGATCTTTCTATTTCAAGAAACTTTGAGTTTTCCAGAGTCTCTGTAAAGCAACACACCTTTCAGATATCCACCTCTCAAATATCTGTGTAGTCTTCTGCCACTCCTTCCCTGTGTCATCCCTAGACAAATATGATAAATGCTCACTAGCATTCTCCACTGCAAACACCCCCACTGAGAAACTAAGTTGGGAAGAATCAGGGTGCTGCTCCTCCTCCAGTGCCCACTGCAAATGTGGCCTTGATGTGGTGTGCTCTGTAACTTCATGCTAAAGGATGAGAGGAGGTGGCAGGTGGGAGAGCTAGAATAAACCCAGAAAATGGAACCCTGCTCATAGGTATACAAGAGACTTGGCCAAAAACAACTAGCGCTGGCCAGAACTGTCTCAGTTGTGTCTTGGTTTTGTGTCTATGTAACCTACAGAGACCCAGTACCACAGGAGTAGCTGAGTAGCCCTGATAGCACATTGCCTAACAGACTTACTGCAAGGAGAGGTACAAACGATAATCTGTTTGCCCAAGGCTGAAGTGCAATTACGTTTCTCTGGCTGTTCCCCCACGATGGTGATGGTTTCTTGAGGCTTATTCATCTACTGGTCTTCAGCACATTGCACACAAACCAATAGCTATCCATGTGCCAAAGTCATCATTACCGAGAGAAGCAGTCAGCAGGGAGAGGGCTCATCTTTCAGGCCACTTCCACATTCACTTTAGGAACTTATTCATTTCATGAATGATGAAGAATCATTTCATTATTACCAAACAACATTCATTGTTGATTGGGCACATGGTCTTCTATGAGGTTTTATACAAAAGATAAAATGAGGGTGCATTTTACCTTCTGAGATAGGCCTGGCAAAAAGGCATGTGTAAATGTAGAACAAAAGTATGAAACTGATTGTACAGTGAAAAGTGACTTATCTACACCCATGTACAGGACAAAGTAAAACAGATATGTGCTGCTGTCAATGGCAGGAGGTAAGAGCAAGTTAACATGGGAAGAGAGATGCAATCAGAGGGACACTGTGTATTTTCTGCAATGAGAAGTGGCTGTAAATTTTCCAGACATGGTCTCCTCTCTTCAACCTTAAAGACCCCCATCAGAAACCAGCTGTTAGCACTGCAAAACTGCCCCTTGTCTAGGCAGATTCTAGTGATGGGAATTGACACAAGGGTTCAACAGGCCACACAAGATTACCAGCATCCACCCCTTTTGTGAGTCCTGAGAGCTGGGGCTGGTGGACAGCCTTGCCACAGCAAGGTAAGTTTAGGATATCACTTTAGTTCTCAACACTGAATTTCCTGCCTTTATCAGTGGAAGCTGATAAATCAGAACTCCACTTTTATGTGTGATAAAAATTTCCATTGTTTATTGTAAAAAGTCTGTATTTAAGGGAGAAAAAATTTAAGTGGAAAATCTCACCAGTAAACACTGCAAAGGTGACACCAGAGATGTACTGAACCTCTACAATCTCTCACCTAAACTCTTTGAAAGCTTTGCCAGTCCACTAACCTTAACAGAAAGAAATACTTCCAATACAAAAAGTTGATCAGGCTGTACTATCCTTGTCCAGCAGCCAGCTTGAATCGCCTGGCCTGATTAGATATTTTCTGGAAGCCAATATCATGTTTTCCTTCCATCCTGCCCACTGATTCAAGCTGCTTGCAAACATTTATTGCGGTGCTAAAGCAATCATTTCTTGCATAGCAGCAGTTTCCTGTGAAAGCAGGGAGAATAGGCCCTGCCTCTACAATGAGGTGCTGCTTTCCTAAAAATTCTCAAAGAAAATTTTGTCATAAATCCATCAAACAGAACCGTGTATAATCTCATTTTCATTTTTAAGATTGGCAATGTGATTTTTCTACATTCACAATTCCCATGGTCTTTCTTGGGCAAAACATCCGCCAAAACAGACAATGAGCACTTAAGTGAATCTAAGGCTGAGACATTCCATAGGGGATTTCCGAGGTCTCTAAAACTCTGGAGACCATGAGAATTGTAGTTCTTTGAAACAAAGGGAAGTGGAAATTTTATGAATTGAAGGGAGAGACCCCTTCCTCTCCAGTGGCAGTGTCCAGAGTATCCCAGTGCTGCCCATAACCTGAAAACACTCAGATATGCAATACCTACTACTGGTCAAATCCACTTCTTTAGCACTCAGAAAAGCTAGCACCCAACCTCAGCTAGGCTGTGGGCAAAACCTGGAGAAGACCTAGGAAGAAAAACAGGGAAATGAGTCCATTTTCAGCCAATATGCTTGGCTGTCTTTGTTAAGGACTCAGAAAGGAGAAGTAAAGAATGAGAGCCTTATCAAAAAAGCAAGGATAATAGGTGCCTTCCCAAAAGCTGTATCCTAGCAGTCTGAAGAAAGTGGGCAGGGCTGCTATAAACAGGCTCTTACAAATCCAAATATCCAGCCACTTGATTTGCAAGGCACAAACACATTTAGCAGGGACAAATAAGTAACCTGGTACAGTGGTGACCACATAGAATATATTCCATAAATATTCAGTAATTTGAAAGGTACCAATTTCATTGGGGAAGAAAAATTGGTACCCTGGAGTCCTTTGCAAGAGAAATGGAAAAGTAAAACCAAAGAGCCTTCAAAGATTCCGTCACAATACAATGCAGCATAAACTTTAAAAAAATTTTAAAAGAACCTCCCATTTGATAGCCACTTCAACATTAGAAAGTTCAGTCCATTTTTTCAAACTAATAACTAGTCAACCTCAAGCACTTTTCTCAGAGTGAAAGGTTAACTGCCTATTTCCCAAGTTCTGCAATTCACTGGCCCATGTGGGAAAGCTCTCTGGACCAGCCAGCAGTTGCAAAATCCTGACCCACTGGGAATGTCCTAGATTGACCAGCAGACAGAGGGCCAAAACCTGATACCTTCAATTTATGTCCAGCATCTGGACAGCAGATGGGGAGGTTTAGACTAGATTCTACATCCTTTGCCAGCCCTAGTCATGTGGTAAGATGAGCTAACCAGAGCCCCCTTTGATCACTTACAATGTGCCAAGTGGGACTAGCTCCTTCACAAAGAAGCTCTTTTGATTCCAGCACAGTTTTCCCATCCCAAATGTGAAACTCCCCAAGACTGCCTTCCAAACTTGTCTCCAGTCACTTTCTTCCTTTGCCTTACCTTAGATGTACTGCAGAAGCTTTTGACAAAACAGACAAAGCAAGAAAGAACAAGAAAAGGAAAAGCCTCATCAAATTGGCAACACTGGCAGCATTCTGCCCTACATTCTTTCAGTGTTATATAAGACAGGTAATACTGACTTAGAAATTACATGATGAAAGTTCTGGGGTCATTAACAAGCATATATACTCCATGTTTGAGTTTCTGTATAGTTTCTGTATCCTCAGGGACAAGAATAGCTTCTCTTTGCTACACCAACTCCTTCCACCCCCACATTGTATAGAAGAAATGGAAGCTGAATGCCAAGGACCAGGTGTCTTCAAGGCCATGTGCATACAGGACCATGTGTGCCCATGCATCTCAAAGGCCTTTATTTCATACAAATTCCAAAGACAGGCTTTCCTGGACCCAAGTCCTGAATGCCTTACATTTCTTTTGAGGTCTCTGCCTGACTGTATGGGGGCTCCTCCTAAAGGACTTCCACCTCTCTTACCTCTGAAGATCCGCTTCTGAGATCCCAAGAACTGGCAGACTTCAGCAGAGGATCTGCAGGAGTTGACACATTTTTGGATCCCATCAGCCAGGTCAAACAGTGTCACATTGGAGGCCAAGGAAAAAGTAGTCTGTAGTGAGATTACCACCACACTGGACTCCCTATGGACAAAGTTTGTGAGTTTTTAGTTGACCTAAAATGACATGTGGGCCCAGGGATTTTGGAAAATGAGTGTTTGAGTGTCATTGCTAATCTCCAGTAAAGGAATAGGAAAGCATGAAGGTTCAGTGATCTTGGCCCTGGGTTACCCAGGAGGTTGGTCAAAATAAAACCCAATTTTATTGTTATCACCCATGTTTGAGTAGCTTCCCCTTTCCATAGGCTAGTTCATAAGCAAATATAATTCTGTTCTTACCTAGACACATGAACTGTGGATCGGATATAACCAGGTAACATGGAAAAACACACATTTAACTGTAAGGAAGAACAGGATTGTCATTAACTGTGAGTTAGACAAAAGTCTTGGACCAAGAACCAATTTCCTGTTTCCAGTATGAAACAGGCATTTCTCCAGCCATCAAGTTATCAGCAGGCAACTTTACATAGAAGTGGTGCCCTTTTTTTTGTTGTTGTTCCCATCTTAATGCCTTTCTGTTGTTCTCTGAGTACAAAGGGACAGAGGTAGGTAGTAAGTCAGTGGGGAAATCTTGGCAGGAAATGATATTCAGAAAGTACCCGTGGATGCAAAACATCTTCAAAGGAGCAGATCTCTTCTAAGTCTCAGGGTGTCAAAAAACTCAGAGGCAACTGTTTATTTGGACTCTGCATAGTGAACAAGTTTGCTGAAAAGGCTCAGTTCCTAGACAGGTCTTCTTCAAAAAGGCTTTCCATGGGAAATTACATTACATGGGTTAAGAGCCCTTTTATTGAGAACAAAATAAGAGCCACTCTCCCTGTGTTTGCCTGTGTCCTCAGACTACAGATAATCCCTCTGCAGAGTATAGTATCATCCCTTCTTCATTACCGCCCCCCTCAATAACAGGAGCAAGAAATACCTCTTATGGTGCAGAGGGTCTCAATATCTTATCCCACAGAGACCTACCTTTCTTCAAAGTCAGTGTCTCAGAGTCTTCTGACTCTTCCAAAGATGGAGTCAAGCATGGAATGATATCAATGATAATCTAATAGCAATGATTTATTATTACTGTTTTATTAACTTTCTCCCAGGTATTGCTAAATAGAATGGCATCTTGGGAAAGACCACATGAGTGGGTTTTCTAGTCACTGCTTAATTCTTCACAGTTTCTTGGGGGTAGGTGTGTCATGTTGCCAATAAATTATATGGTGATGCTGGGCAAAAAACCCAAGTCATGTAAGTGACTAAGAAATGTATAATATGAAGAACTGAACCTCTGCACAGGGTTCTAAACCCCTGTACTATCTTAGAAGAAAATATCTATGTACACCATAGCCAGGAGGCAGCAGTAGTGGGATGACAAGAATTCTAGGTACAGGATTAATTGAAAACCCTGCTATGTAGTAAAGAATTTAACCTTTCCCAAAAAGAGGTAATGCCTTTGCTCCTAACAAGGTATTTTCTAAGTCCTTGAAGTTATCTGCGTTGATAAAAATGTGTTTATTATCTAGGGGTCCTGGGCCACGCCAGAGAGTTTAACAATGTGATTTGTGGTGGGGGCTTTGGGTAAGATGGTATCAGCTCAGGCTGTCAAGGGGTTAGTGACTAAGATCAGCCTTATGGGCAGTCAACCATGTCTATGTGACAGGACTGAAATAAAGGCTTCAGGTACCAAGAGCTTTGTGGTTAACTCAAATGTGTATTGTCCCACATTGTTACCAAGAGGCATTAACAGAGTCTATGACTCCACAAGGAAAGGACAATTGGAAGCTCTGTATTTGAAAGTCTTCTGGACTCTGCCACATGAATTTCTTCTCTTGGCTGATCTTAATCTGTAACCTTTTGCTGCAATAAACCACAGCTGTGAAGATAACTGCTTTCAGTAAGTTCTGTGGCTCTTCAGTGAATTATTGAAACAGGTTAGTCTAAAGGATCCTCAAAATTGTAATTAGTGTCAGTAGTAAAGGTGACCTAATAGAATGTTCTCCAACTGTGCCCTGCTCTTTGTGAACTCATGCGATATCATTAACTTCCACAGCCTTCCAGTTTTCTACCTGCAAAGTGTTGCCAGTACCTCTGACAGGAATGAGCCAGCAAGCATAGCCCCTGTCACAGAGTAGATGCTCAATAGACAGAGAAATGGAATGAGAATCTATACTTTATGCAAATAAAATCCACAGTCCTATAAAAATGTAATTTTTGGCTAATATACTGTCAGTCATAAAAAAACAAATAAAATTGAAATTAAAAATCAATTAATTTCTACCTTATTTTAATGGCAAATTTCAATTTCCTGAACACAAAATCTTTGACTTGGATAGCAGGTGAGAATAACATGTATTATCTGACTTTCATTTTTTCTTTCTTCCTCTCCATTTTTTTTTTCTGATAAAAAGCAGGCAAAGAAAAAAGAAGCAAATTCAAAGGTCCCTACATAATCTATACAGTGAGTTCTCAAGTCCCCAATAATCAGGATTGATATTAGGCATTCCTTTGAAGAAAAAGAGTATCATTCTCCCCAAGCTCCTAAAACACAAGGAGAAAGTCACACCACAGGTCAACAGCAGATGGTACAATAGGATTTTCTGGTTCTATCCTCTTCACCCATAGCCCTCATTGGTGCATGTCATCTGTCTGTGACTATGAGTCTGCACATAGAAAAGAAACACATAGCAGATGAGACTGCACGTCTTATCTGAATAAACACTTCTACTGGGCACCACTAGTTCTCAACACCTTGATTTTATTTCCAGGAGGCTTTTTATTTTACCATGAAGTTTCCCTTCCAAATATAAACGATAAGAAGAGCCCAGGAAACCTGGGTAGCCCTTAGGCAGAGGCCAACTCTGAATGAATCTGTCCTAGAAAACAAAGGATTAATGTGAAGAGGCCTTTCCAGAAACTTACTGTTTTGGTGATCTCATTTTCAACTTCATGTAAGTCTGAATGTTTTTCCACAGTAGTATTGAGAAAAATTTTCTTTAATTTAAACTCTGTCATGAAGGTTCTAACTGAAAATGAAAATGGTACCTTTTAGTCCACACACAGATCAACCCACACAAGGCTGTGTTTCTAAATCTCTAGGATAGCCAGCTTCACTCCCCCCACAGGACAGCTCTGTGGATTTCTTTCTCCTACAGGGTAGAGATTGCCCCTGACTCTTCCAGGTTCCGCTTTGGCAAAATGAGCATCTATTGGCCTAAGCTGAAGGCTGACAGTGAGTAAACCTGTGGGAGGAAGACTCCTAGGGCCTTTTGTGTATGTGCAAGTACTGCTCAGAGAAGTAGCATTCTTGACATCCTTCTAATTGCCTCCCACATAATAGATGCTCAATAAAGCTCTGGTGAAGTAACATAATCCTAGGAGGAAGGGAAGGAGATGATGTACCACTCAGAAAAACTGCTCATCAGGCCTCATTAGACTTTAGACCAAAGAAAGCACTTGTTCTCCAAGGTCTTTAACCAAGTTAAGCCCTTTGCTTTAGGGAGTACTTCAGTTTCCTCTTATTAGAGGCACATTCATGCAACCCCATTCCACTTGCTCAGAGGAAATGTCTATTTTATCATTTATAAAAGACTCAAGAGCCAAAATCAACATTCAAATTCATGTGTGTCCACCTTCAAAGTTCTTATTTCCCTACTATATCCTCTGTTCTCTGATATTCTAAGGATAACCAAGGGGTTCCTGAGAAAGGAGTCAAACATTTGTAGTGGGCTTATACTCTAGGGGCTGCTAGAGTCCGTGAGTATAAGTCACATAATGAAAACAACCCATATTCAAGACATTGTTAGATTCAAAAATGAAAAAGAAAGCAGCCCCATTTTCAAGGCCCATTTCACTCATAAAATAAGATTCTAGTTAACACCAATTTGTGCTGATTGGGCCTGAGAGGAATGGGACTTACAAATGGACAGACAACCGAAAATTAGTACAGCTTGCTTTATATCTGGCTCTTATCTTCTATTATATTAAATTCTTATCTTTCCTTCTGGACAGAAGAAAAATAATCCAAAACACTGAAGCCTATGAAGCTGCTCTTTCATGGGAAGCTTGCATGCTGAATTAAGAAAAAGGCCCACAAATGAGCCAGGGAAAACATTTAACATCTTATACTTAACTGTCTAAAGCCCTTAATCCTTATTTAACATCTTTTTGCTTGTTCTACAGTTCAGTGAAGCCAGATGCTTAGGACTCTTTCTGAGCAGCAGGGAGCTCTTTGGAAACATTCTTGGCCAAATGAAAGCATTTCAGCATGCTCTAATTTGCATGTTCCTCTGATGTTTACGAACAATGAAGCTAAATGACTTGAAAAGGGAAAGATGATTGTTAACACAATAGACCTGCTCTCCCCCATCTGTGCAACCTGTGGGACACTGAACAAGGCTTCCAGAACAGTCACTCTATAGTTCATCTTTACCTCTCACATGCCCAACTGCATACTCAAACTCTCCATACAGAAATATAGCTAATATCAATGTTAGGTACACAGAAGTTTTCTGAATAATGACTGTCAAAGTGGCCTCTGCTTTCAATGTAAATATGAAGATCATCAGTCTTCTCCCAAACCCTGCCCTCTTTCTAGGCAGGGATTTTTTTCTGAAGATATTTACATCTTTATGCCTGTTGCTATATCAGCTAGCTTCAAGACAGATTTTTTTTCACTTCAAATGGAACTGCTGATTTTCCTATATCATCTAAATGAATTTTGGAAAGAGTCACAATTATCGTTTTGTATTCAAAGCTGTTTTCATAGCTTTCAATCTGGTCCAAGTTTGAAGACCAGTGTTAAATGACACTCCCCACCTGGATAGCTCTTTATCATTTTCAGAGTTTGCTCAACTACGTGATTTTATTTGACCTTCACAATAACCCTGAGTGGGAAGTAGACCAGATTGTAATCTGATTTTACAGATGAGGAAACTGAAGCTCAAGGGTCATGTATTTTAGGTATGGCCTAGAGCTAGAAGCCAGGATTTGAGTCCTGGGCAAGCGTACTTTCCACAATGCTTCAAAACAAAAATAATTTCCATCTTCTTCATTCTTAAACTGAAAAGTCAGTTGTGGTGGTATATGACTGTAATTCCAGCACTTGGGATACTGAGGCAGGAGGACTGAGAGTTCGTGGTCATTTTGATTTATATAGTAAGACCCTAACTAAAAAAAAAAAAAAAGGACAAAAACAAAAAAACAAAACTCTTAGCTAATTTCTTTCTCTTTTTTTTTTTTTTTTTTGGGCAATACTAGGGTTTGAACTCAGGGCCTCATGCTTGCTAGGCAGGCTCTTTTGTTGTGTGTGTTGGGTATTTCAAGATAGGGGTATGGAGAACTATTTGCTCAGGCTGGCCTCAAACTGCCATACCCCAAATCTCGGCCTCCAAAGCAGCTAGGATTATAGGTGTGAGTGACCAGTGTCCACCTTTGGCTAATTTCTTATGGAACAGGTTACCCTAATGCAAGTAAATTATTAGAATAAGAGGAATACTTGATTTTGACTGATGTCTACATTTCTAGATTCTTCTTTTAAAAATGGTGTTCAATTCTTGTATTTCAAACAATTTTCAAAACTCTATTGTTATCTTAGTAGATAACCAACCATTTAAAAAAGTTCCTTCTGCCTACAAATAATAGGAACTCATGCAGATAACACTTTCAAAGGACACAGACATTTGCTCTCTCCAAAAACATTTACTGTATACTTTTTTGTGTGTTAATTATCACACTGAGCAATTTAAGATGACTCAAAGATGAGTCATTTTACCTGCTAGTTTTCTTATCTAGATTAGAAACTCTGTATTTCTCATTCTAATTTCTTCAGCAAATTAGGTATTAAACTCTGCATCCTAACAAGTACATGCTTTGTATTCAAGAAAGCTCTTACAATTAACACATTGCTGTATAATAGAAAGAATTATGGACTAGAAACCAGGCCTCTCATCAACCAGTTACATAAGCTTGGCCACTTAGCACCTTGAGAGGGCCTAGTTTAGTTTGCCTGCTTTTTAACCTTACAGGTTAATGAAAATTGTATTTAAAATCAAAGAACTTCATGAATCTATCAAATTAGAAACAAAATATGGTATGGAACAATTACAGGAGCAGCTCTGTCAAAATATATCAGGCAATGGATAACAACATGAAGATCACTTTTAAAAATGAAGAGGATATATAAATGTGGTGGGACAACCAGGATTTTATTGTCTTTTCTCCCTCCAAAGTACTTTTTTTTTTAAATATAGTCAGAATATCTATCTTTTTCTATTTTTTTCTTCACTGTAGGGTAGAATAATTAAACAATAATGTTATTACACAAATGATAGCATATGATGCATTCATTAAGCTATCTGTACAATATTTTTAACATAGGAAAATGTTTAAGATATTAAACTTAGAAAGTTACGTAATTCCAACTATGTAAACATAATGCACATTAAAAAAAGCTGCAAAGTAAAGGGCTGTATCATCAAGTGTTGGAATAGGCAACGTTTTCTTCCTTCTGTATTCCATAACTTTATATCTTGAACAAAAACTATTTTAATTAGGAAGAAAAACAATACATGTAAATGTTATTTGATAAAATATAGTATAACACAGGGCAAATTCTAAGATCAAATAACTTTCTTACCCAAATTGCACACTCCTTTTTCCAACTGGTACCCTACTGGGCATTTGCAGATAAAAGATCCCTGAGTATTGTTGCACGTGGCCAGGGGTGGGCAGGGGTTTGAGTGGCATTCATTCACATCTGCAGAGGAGAAAAAAACAAGCCATGTTGAGCCTGTGGCAGACAGCAAATCATAATCCAGTACAACAAGTACTTACTAAGGACCAAACGGCATTATGTGTAGCGTGGCCTCAAAGAGGAACAGACGACCACCCTTGTCCCCAAGAGTCTGATTAGCTATTAAGAACTGAGGTAGCCATATAAACAACTACTGTATGTAGAAGGCATAATTTGGATATACAAAGTAGCAGATTGTGATTGAGAAGACACTTAAGGACAGTTTCAAATAACATCTAAGACAGGAAGGACCTTAATAATCAGATTTGGGTGGGGCAATTCCAGGCTGAGGCACCAGCCCAGTAAATGCCAGGGGGAGTAAAGTACTAGGGTCTTTAGGGGGCTGTAGGTCATTAGTGTGGCAGGAGTGAAAGGTCATGAGAAATGGAACCAGGTCAGGAAGCCTGTCAGCACCACACTGAGGGACCTCACGTTATCTAGTAGACAACACACAGGCATGCTTGCTAACTCTCAAGTAAGCAGGGTATTGATTTAAAAAATTGTATTTCCTATATTTTGGAGAAATAAAGGTGCTTATAACCCAATGTGATACTACAGGATACTGTAGCAACATTACTTTTTCTCTTACCCACACTGCAGTTCTCCCCTTGCCAGGAAGGCGGGCACGTACATCGATAGCCACGATTGGTGAGGTCCACAATGCATTTGCCATCATGAAGACAAGGGTTCATGGCACAGTTGTTGACTGAAAACATACCCCAGAAATAACACAGTCAATCTCACAGGAAATGTAAAGGCAGCTCTAGATAAATATTCTCTCAGCTAATATTTTATTCTTGCTTATTTCTGTTTATGTGTCCCAAATAGTCACATTACTAAAATAAAATAGGGTTCCAAAGAGGTACAGAAGACAGGAGCAGTAAGACTGGGTACTGGTACTAGCTTGTGACTACATATAAGTATTATACAATTGGATCCCTGACTGCAAGAACTGGTTCAAATCAAATGCTGTGTACAGGTCACTCAGTTCAGGACTGATGGTTATACTGCTTTTGTGGTACTTAGAAAATTCTACTTGAATCAATGCCAATTTAAAACACACATCAAGGAGGATTTAAGAATCCCTAATAAATTCATATTCCCAGCTGCAAGATTTATCATGAGTGTACACGCACTCAGCTTGCCTTTTTTCTTGAACTTTATTTATTGGAACCACAATAACCTTTATCCAAAAATCTCCAAATCAACTAGGCTTCCACATATTGTACATCATTTAGAAAATGATCACGGTTGAGCACTACAATGCCCTCTCTCTTTACATAATGTGAAAGTGGACGCTCTCTGAATTCATGTAGGCCATTATGATTCGGACTTCAGAGTCATCTTGGACTGGCATCCCCCAAGGGCAATCACCATAATTCTGTTTTGCTATATATAATTGGCAATATCACACTCCAGTTATGTAATACCTGCTTCATAAAGGTTTCTGACATACATTTAGAAAAGCTGAAGCCTACAATATAACTGCATCATCTGTGAGAAGGAAATCACTGGGAGAATGAGAAAAAGAAGACAGAAATCAAGAGTCTTCTCTCTAAAGAATAAACCTGAAAACAAATGAGCTAAACCTAAAGATGGTAATCTTATTCTTCATTGTTATTGTAAATATTACTTAAAATCACCTATATAAACATGTTACCTATGTAACCAAACATTGTACCCATTAACACTGGCACAAAAAATTTATTAACAACCAGTGAATATGCTCCTAATACTCAACTACCATAATTATAATGGTTATAATTTGCTTTAAGGGAGTCCTATGAATTACTGTTCATCTGGTACTGGGATATATTTGGCCCTTGAAAATGAAGCCTGTGAGCTTTGAAGCAGGATTCCCAAAATTTCCCTGAAAAAGGAGCCACCTTTCATTTCCCAGAGGTGCTCAGATCACTGACACAAAGGGAGCACTGTGGGGCTAGCAGTGGGAATGGTTTATGACCTGGTACCCCAGGTTCATCATTGTTGACTAGGTGAAACTGTACCACTGAGGTCCTTCCTCTAGTCACTGCAAAGCATATCTCTTTTCTTCTTCCTTAAGATGTCAGTTTCCATTTTCCCACTTCTCTTATAGCAATTTTCTTTCCCTGAGTCTGAACAAACCACAAGTGTAACTGCGAACACATTATTATATCATCCTACACCTATATTTCCTTAAATGACAACAAATCATTTAGATGGTTTTATGTTCCATGTACCAGCAACTTCAACATGGCTGTAAAGATAACCTCATGTACAATGTAAAAAAACCCTAGTCATGCAGTCACTGTGGGAAAAGGTTACTTTGTTATCTTCTCATTTACATGTCTCCTGTTTATCAACTAACAACATTATCTTTAGGAGACAAAGGACTTGGGTTTCCCTGGATTCAGAGAGCCCTCTGATCCCAAGAAGGCCCCTGATGACTGGGGAGCCAGATGACTGGCTCAGAGGCTCTGGGATCTCTTTGGGAGCTGCCACCCAGCTCACTGTCTCCAAAAGACTACCTAAAGCTTCTTCAGTTTCTCCACCTCCCAAACCCACATCTCTGCCTGGTTCTGACCTCAGAGGAGTTAAAACTTGAAAAGCTCTTCAATTACAGGACATTTAAAGCTATAATTGAATTATCTACTGATGTCACACATAGCCAAAGTGTCTTCTCCTCTTTCTTCAGGAGAATCCCTAATTCAGGGAAAATTAGGAGAAAATTAAACCCACTGTGACCTTATTTTATGCTTTGTGTTTCAATGGGAAACACTTTAGGTCACAAAAAAAAGACAAGACACTATTTCAAACACTAGCTATTTCCGCACATTCACAAGAATCCTGAGTCCCATGCAGCTCCCAGTGCTGAACAGGGCCTAGCAGTCAATGTGTTTGTAAAATACATTTTACCTGAGGTTGGAGGTGACAATGCCATTGGTGACTGTGTGGTGCTCTGAGCAGGAAAGGTGGTAGATTTAGGAGTCAATTCTTCAGCAGTAGAAACAGTTGTGGTTGGAGAAGGAGATGTTCTGAGGAAATGTGAAGATGGACTGTGCTTATCTGTAACGCCAAGTCTTGTGGTCAATTCTTTAGCTGATGTGGGTACACTGGTCAGAGGGATCAATCGGGTGGTATCATCTGTATTCACGAGGTTCCTTTGTGTGGTGATGACACCTTCTGTTGAGCTTTGCGGCACTAGAATTTCAGGATGAGTTGCCAAGAACTGTTTTCCAGCAATAGTCTGTACAGGACCAGAGATCAGAACCTCTGTACTTAACAAGGTGCTGGGACTGGTAACAGGAGAGTGAGAGGACTTGAGAGTGGTGATGGTTGTCAAAGCTGGAGACATTTGGGCTAAGCTGGTGCTCATGGCTGGAAGGGCTGGCACAGTGGAGAATTCTGTTAAGGCTGGGGGCAAAGGGACCTCCAAAGGAGAGCTCATTGTTACAGCTTTGGTGGACTTTGTGGACAAAGAAACCAGGGTTGGGGATTTTGCTTCCATGACGACTTTCTCTTCGTGTGGGGTGCTCTGGTTCTTGGGGTTTGTTGTTTGACTACTGTGGAACATTGTTAAGGATGATGACATTGTTGACGTCTGAATTGAAGTCACAGGCATCTCTCTTGCCCTAGGCAGGACCGGGGTAGAAGATGAATGTGGTAAGATTGTTTGTGAGACAGAAAGTGGGTCATAGGTAGATGCTGTCAAGGATATTGGTAAAGGTGATGGTGAGGAAGATAAAGGTGTGACTGTCTCAGAGGTAGACATTAGCTGATGTGTGGAGGCCCTGGTTGATGGTAAAGTTGATGAAAACAACTGGTGGGGTTGTGACACTGAGGGAAGAGGCAAAGGGAGCCCTGAAGAAGAGGAGTCACCAACAGATTCAGTACTGGCATCCGGAAGAACCAAAGTGTTTGGCATATTAATGGTGGATGTGTAGGATGGAAGGTTGGATGTATGCAGAACCAGTGACTCAGTGGAAGGCTGAGCATATTCCCCATCATAAGATGAGATGCTACTTCTTTCAGTACGAGTAGGAAAAGAGGAAGAATAGTCTAAATATGGAGAGTTTGAAATCTTAATATAAGAGGTTGAGCTCTCGCTGGTGTCTGAGGATGAACCATTATCTGTAATGGATAGTAATGTCCGTTCTCCTTTGGTGAAAGTAGATGAAACATAGGTATGGTCTGTGTGGTCACTGGAAGTTCTTTGCTCAGAGTCTGTGCCACCCACTTGACCATAGCTATGTTCAGTGACTGCAAAGGGAAAAACCCAAAGTTAACAAGATATCTTTGAAACATGCATTATAAAACAGATTTGCTGTCTCTTATCCATGAACTCAAGGGAGTGAAGAGGTGGTTTCCAATGGTGCACACTCTGAGTGAAAACAATGTGGAAAGGCTAGGCCAGTGTCTGCTCTAAGTAGATTTATCTCTGTGGGGCGCAGCAGTGGCAGCAATAGAAGTGATAATAAAGAGAAGTGAGGACCAGGGGTCTAAAGTCAGAGAACAGTTACAAATTCCTTCCATATACTTTTTTTTTCTTTTGATAAAAACAAAATGGTATCAGAAAAACTCTTAAGAACCCAAATTAAATAACTGTTAAGCTTAAAAGGAAAAAGGAAATAGGAAATCCCTCTCATCTTTCTGTTCTTTATAATGAGACATTTCTTTTCCAGGACCTGGACCTTAACTATAGTGTTACTGGTCTCCTTTATTTTAAGCCTGGCATGTGAGGTGATGGGGTGGGGAGTGGGGTGGTAAATTGTTGTAAGGTACTTTTTAGATTGACCTCCTAATCATCCTAGGACTGCCAGATGGGTGGAGGGAATATGGAAAAGGAGTCTGTTGAGCACACACTACCGTCGGCAGTAGACATGGACAGCAAGCCTGCTTGCTCCGTCACGTTCCCGAGCTGGGTGGTACCCGCATGGCTGCCCACTTCCGCTTCCGCAGAGGTCGCGGCGTAGGGAAGGCTGAGAGACCGCAGTGTGCGCTCACCACTTCCGGTGAGCGTCGCTGAGGTGTGCGAGGCGCGAAAGCGCGCCCCGGAAGTGCTCTCTTCCGCCTCGGAATGATCGCCCAGCGCAAGGTTCTCTTCCCGGGCTGAAGGAAAAAGGGGTGGTTGATAAATGCCAGCGCCCTACACTGAAGGGACCCAGATGCTTCCCGGGGCTTTCTCATGGTCTGTCTGCGATAAAACGGGCAAGGAACTATGGATCAGTGCCTCAGTTCAGGTGTCCTGGATTTATGGGAAGGTTTATTACTCCAGCGAACAGGATCAATACTGGATTTCTGCTCGGAGATACATAACAAGAGTTCGTGTCAGGGAAGTTGGTGGTGGCAGCAGGGGAGGTGAGTTGGTGGCAAACGAAGATGTTGCTGGGGCTTTCGATATCGAGACAAGGCCCAGGGGGAGACTCTGGGTCTTCTTCAAGGCCTGCATTTCTATAGTTTTAGCACATGACCAAGAAATAGTGTGTGGTTGGAGGTTAAAAGTGGTCTTCGGGTGTGTGTGTGTGTACATTTTAATGCATTTGTTTTATTGATGGAGATAGAAGAAGAAAAGGGATAACGAATAAATTTCTTTTCCCTCCTTTGGGGGATAGATGTTGTACACTATAAGCCTAAAAATAATCTTAGAAATATATAGACTATTAAAAATCTTAGACTATAGACTGACAAAAGTGAAGTCTAATTCTTCCTGGCCTAAATCCTTTATAGTCTGGTTTTATGAGAAAAGGGAATTTTCTTGATTCTTATTTCCATTCTAAGCCGAGACTACCCCCTTGTTATCCCATGGACATGCTTTGATGGAAAATGGATATAAAATTGTTAGGTTACTTCAGGATAGACTTGAATTGACAGGGATCAGCATGAGGACAGGACATCTGCTGACCTAGAGCAGCAGCAAGCCAGGAATTAGAAAGGTAATTTGGGACACCAATGGGAAGTCACCCAGGAGATGTTTGAGAGCAGAGTATTTGAGCACAGTTTCTGTGGACAAAGAGGAAAAGGCCTTGGACAGGGAGTCATTAAATCCTCTGTTATACAAAATTTAGATAAACAACATCAGCGTTATAGGCTCAATAGAGTAGAGAATCATGACCTGAGACAGAGGGTCTAAATCAGCCCAGAAAAAGGAATGAACTGAGAACTTTGAAGGAATGGATTGCAGAATCAGTCAGCTTTGGGTGATTCAGAGGAAAAGAGATAAAACAATTGTTTTAACCCACAGTGATGTCATTTCAGGAATGAGGCTACTCCTTATATAACTTTTGTAACTGAACCCCAAATCTGACCACAATGAAATCATATTTTTCCTCATGAACCAACTGAGCATTAACTGCATAGAGGAAGGGTACAGAAGAGATATAAAAGGGAAAGCTATGGAACCTAAAGTCATGGTTTGAGAAGGCAAAAATCCTAAGCCCCACAGTAGTGAGTATAGAAAATGATGTCTTTTGTTTAGGAGATAATGTATTTCCCATGAATAGACATAAAAGGGTATAAATATCCTCCACCCATATGTGTTTTATTCTTTCATGATCACCATATGTTTTTCCATGCCACATGAGTTGTAATAAATGGAAAATTTCCTCATAAGTTAGGATTCATATATGAAGGAAATGAAGTTACTGTTATTTGTAGTGGAGAGGTAAAAGTTTAAAATCTATTAAAAGCTTCATGATAAATTAATGCATTTTTTATTTCATCAGCAAACACTTTACATTGTAAGACTAATGGAAATTGTTTTATGAAATTACCCCAAAGCATTATTAAAAAGGGAATAAAACAAGAGAAACTCTTACACTCAATAATAAAAAGACAACCCATTTTTAAATAGACAAAATAATTGAAGTGTCATGTTCAAAGAAGATATACAAATGGTCAGTAAACCACATAAAGATGTTTGACATCATTAGTCAGCTAGGAAATGCAAATCAAAACCACAATAAGATATCACTTCCTATCCACTTGGATAGGTATAATTTAAAAAAAAAAGATGGACAAGTAACAAGTGTTGGTGAAGATACAGAGACTTGGAACATTTGTACACTGTTGTACAAACGGTATAGCCACTCTGACAGTTTCTCAAAAGCTTAAAAGTGGTGCTATCTTATAGCCCAGAAATTCCAAGAGAACATATGTTCATATAAAAACTTGTACTGAATGCTCATAAGATCATTATTGATAATAGCCAAAAGGTGGGAATAACATAAACATCTATCAATTGGGGAAAGTATGTATCTACTGAAATATTATTCAGCCATAAAAAGGAATGAAGTACTGATATATTCTACAACATGAATGAATCTTGAGAACATTATATGAAATGAAAGACACAAGAGGCTGCTTATTATATGATTCCATTCATAGGAAATGTCTAGAAGAGGCAAATTCACAGAAACAGAAAGGAAATGTGGCTTCCAGAGGCTAAAAGATGGATAGAATTGGAAATAATTGCTGATGAATATGGGGTTTTTTGGAAGGGGGTGATAAATACATTATGTAATTAAGATAATAGTGATAGTTGCACAACTTTGTGAGTATACTGAAAACCACTGTATACTTTAAATGGGCAAATTATCTAGAATAGGAAGTAATATCTCAAAACTGTTTTAAAAGGGGGGAAGAATTTCCTTTTGATGAATGCTCTGAATGACCTGGAGTGAACAATGGCTCATAAGAAAGTAACATTTTCACCTTTCAGAAGCTCTGTGATTGAAGCTGGCATGAGGGTGTGGGTAAGTTTTAGAGAATGGGAAGACATGGACATAGAAGTCCCTGAGTTGTGTGTGAGAGAAGAGGAGGTAGGAGCAATAGCTTCTCAGATGTACCAGAAAAAAAAAAGATGGAATATTCTAGCTGTGTCAAACCAGTGAGAAGAATGGCTTGGGAATAATGAAACTTGAGGGACCTAAGGATTCTTTTATTGATGCATGCTTTAGTGTACCATAGAAGATCATAAGCATCATATCAGTCCCTCTCCCCAACCTGTGGTACATTTGTGTGAAGTGAAAACTTACTTGAACGTTCTCCTCGTGGTGCTGAGGAATCCAGGCTTTCTGAGAAAGACATAGAGGAAGACTCTGAATAGCTTCTCTCACCCAACATTGGGTTATTTCCTCTGGACTGTTGAGCAGAGTCTGAGGACTGGGTCAAGACTAAAGTGTTCAAAAGTTCAGGATTTGAAGCAGAGTTTTCTGTCACATCTGCAGATGTCTTGCTCTTAGGGAAGAACCAGTGTGCTGTGCTCTCTCCACCTCTGATGACGGGGACTGATCTAAACAAAGTCTCAGTCTGCGTCCTGGATCTTCCATTTCCTGCTTCTGAGTTGTTGGCAAGCTGATGTTCTCTGAAGGCTGTAAGATATTATAGAAAAAAAATGCCATTACACGAATATGAAAAAAGGTCCTCAATGACTTAGAAGTGAGTTCTCTCTAAGGAAAGGTTCCCTTTTCCAAGGAATCTTGTATAGTGATTATTATATGTGTCACCTGACATGCATTATCATATGTTAAATAATTATTTCAAAACTCTTAGGTATCAGCAAGATAACAATACTAAAAATAAAAGTTGATGAACAGAGGACTTTTAAACAGCATGTGCAAATAAGAGTAATTTATAGGCTTAAGTGTTTCTATTTCCCTTGAAAAATAGTTTAGGGAGTATGAATTATATCCAATACATATGATGTGCATAGATATAGTACATAGTCAAAGCACTTTTCTAAAACATTTGCAATATTAATAAATATTATTTTAATTCTGAAGTATAGTAAAGAATCAACTGTAGGAAGTAAACTAAACTATTAACTTGGGAACTATATTTATGTCTATACATTTATTTGTAAAGATGATCTGTACACAAAATCACATTGTAAAGAGTGGGCCAACTCTCACTGTGGAAACAATACTGTAGAGTGAAAAGATGGAACCAATTGTGAAAACCCCAAGGCTGAAGTCTTGACTCAGCTGAGTACGCTAAGTGGCTGTGCATGCATTACATAAACCCTCTGAGCCTTAGTCTCCTCAGCAAGGAGACTAAGAGCAGGAGTGATCACCCTGGCCCAGCTAACTTTACAATGTTGTCATAAGGGAGAAAATAAAAATGCAATAATGTGATATAGCAGATAAAGGAGCCGGTGTCATCAAAGAGCACACTTTTTTCAGAGTTTGCAAATGGTCCTGAAGAGACTTACTAAGAAAAATTTCTACTTTAAAAATATTTCTACCTGATCAAGTAAAGATGGAATACTCACTTGGGGAATCATTTTGCCAATGTAAAGATGTAAATCCAAATTCATTTTCTGTGGATGGCTCAATGAATTCTCCATGTCCTGGATTCTCGGTTACTCTACTGTTTGTTCTCGATTCTCCCACAGAGGGTGACGAATGGACTGAGGCTGAAGTTGTAGCAATTTTGGAGTCCTCAGGGAAACCCTCTGTCTCATTTATAGGTGGTTCACTGACAGTCAAGGACCGGATCATCCTTGAGACACCATCAGTAAATGTGGTGGCAACTTGCATACTCTTTGTCTGGCTGATTGATGGGCTTTGGAGAGCAGTGGAGTTCTTAAGCCCATTTATACTTCCAGAAGCTAAATCAGAAGAAAATATGGTACACAGCTACTCACAGGGTTAAGAAAATCAGGTATGTATCTAGGTACAAATAATGTTTATTACGTTTTGGTATAAATCTAAGTACTATGAACCTAATATAGACACAAACATTTGTGTATGTTTATACATGCATGTGCAACCAGGGCACACTCATTCACCCCCCACTAGTTCTAATTGTCATAGAGCTGAATGGAGAAGCAGTCAGGCCCCTCACCAAGCATGATAAAAAACTGTGTGCAAGCTGAAAGGAAGGTAATAGAAAGCAAGACAAATACATTGTTTGCTTTAGTTTTTATAGAGAAAAATGAAAACTTCTACTACTACTGAATTCTACATTATAGCTGAAATAGTACAGGCCATTGTGATAAGGCTTTTGTTGTTTTTTTAGCCATGTAACTCTTTTGATCAAATGCTATTATTGATTAAAATTCAGTCTATAGAGTGAATAAAATTTGGGCTACTACAGTGTGCCCAGTGCCCTCCCCCTTACCCCAATCACCACTGACAAGGCCTAGAGTTTTACATAACACAGTCAGGCCACTACCAGCCTAGGACTATAATTTCCAGCCCTGTCACCATCAAAGCTCCTTTATTATTCCCCAACTCATGGCCACCATAAATCTTATGCTTTGAAAGACTACTAACCAAACTGCATTCATTAGGTATCAGACAGAGCTTCTAGCCAGCAGGAGATATTTACTATTACCCCATGAATTTTATTTAATTCCATCTAAAAGTAGACAGCCTTCAGTGTTATAGTTAGTCTCATTAAGCTTTAGAGACCAGCTCACAAACCACTCCAGTGGGCCCCCCATGAGATCAAGGGCTCCAGGCTGGGAATAGTTTTTCTGATCAATGGATGGCAGCCATTGGATAATTGTCAAGAACCTCAAGAATTAAATTATATACCCTGGTCAAAATGCATGATCTGCTCCACATTATAGGTGGCTTGCTGTGATCTCTCTTCCACAAAGAACTTTTCAAAGGATACCCTGATAAGTGATCACCAGAGGAGTACATTAAAATCCTATTCGGTGGAGGATGCTTGCCTCACACTTGCAAGGTCCTGGGTTCAATCCCCAGCACTACACACACACACACACACACAAATCCTTGTTCCAAACAGGAATAAAGTGCAGAAAAACGAGAGCAGAAAAACATGGCAGACAAGAAAAGAGAGTGCTTTTTTCTCATCTTAAGCTAAAAATAATAAAAAGTACTCTATACCTATATAATGAAAGGCTTCAAGCTGTTAATTATGACCCAGAAAAGGGTAAAAGGAAGTTGTCATTATAAACAATTTGTTGAAGACCAGTTGTGACCAAAAGCACAAATACACATTAGCTATATAGAGAAAAAGACAGCACAGGAAACAAAGGGTTCCTTTTACTCATTAAAAAAATCATAGACCCACCTATACCTAGAACATAGCCTGGCACTCTGATTGATAGACCTTCATGAAAACAAAATGAAGATGAAGGCAATCCATAAAACTAATAATTGAGACAAAAGAATAGAAAGATCTGGTGCAAAAATAGAATCACAGTCTACCCAGACCCAACCCTGCTGAAAAACACCCCCCTAGAAAAGCTTTAGTATAAAACAAGGAAAGCATAATATAGATATGCCCAAATAATTATCTCTACCAAATTACTTTAAAAACACTTTATTCCTAGTAAACTGCATTATTTTACCTGTTCAATATTTCCATCAGAACACAGTGGTATAGCAGTGTCAAAGCAAAATGAATGGATGGGGAAGAGCTGCATATATACCACCAATTGTCCCTAGTACTATTACAATAAATCTCAAATGACTTGGATAGTTAGGTCAATAACATTCTAAAATAAAAGGTTTGTTTTTTAAACAAACCTTTGTGGCAATTATACTAAATTCAATCTGATTAACCTAGGCCTGTCCATTTTGGTGGTTTTAGCAAATAAATGGCCATAGAAATACATCATAAAAGTCACAAATGCTAAGTCATAAAGGGAAAATAGCTGTTTTCCTAACCCTAAAGGTTCTGTGGAACATTGCTTCTTCATTTTACTACTATCATCATTGTAAAAACCCACTATTGCCAGGCATGGTGGTACATGCCTATAATCCCAGCACATGAGAGGCTAAAGCAGGAGGATCATGAGTTGAAAGCCAGCCTGGGCTACATATTGAGTTCCAGGCTAGCCTGTACTACATGGTGAGATCGTATCACAAAACAAAATAAAAATGCTACTGTTAATTGACTAACTTCAATATGGGAGGCATTATGGTAAGTAAATTATACACTAACCTCATTTAATCCTCACAATAAAGCAATGAAATGTATATGCATACTGTAGAGTTAGTGCCTCTTACTAAAAAGAGGAAATATTTGGTCAAACTAATCTCTAATCACTACTTATGATACTAAATGAGAGTCCTTAAATAAATCCAGGGGGAAATTTGCTACGTTTCTAGTGAACAGCCCAGCATTATTGATTATTTAATATCCTTCCTTGCTCACTCTATCCCTGAAGCAACCATTCAAAACTGGGAACACCTGAGGGCTGGGGGTGTGCCTCAAGTGCAAGGCCCTGAGTTCAAATCCCACTACTGTACCACCCTCCCCAAAATGGGAAGACCATCCATTGGCAGAAGACATGAACCAAGTTCCTAGTCTTTATAACAGGAAGTGGACCTTTATACTGCTCATTTGATATAAATATATGGGTTACTTTCCAATCACTGCACAAAACATTAGAGCCTCAGGAACGCAGCAGAATGCTCAACCATGACTTGGCTACTATCCAGAAGTTGCCAGAAGCAGCTGATATTTGAGAAAGATAGGCTAAATCTAACTGGGTTATTTATTCTCTCACTTTCTAAAGTGAAATCACCACAAAGCAATTTACCTGGACCACATTAGCTCAGCTACCCAGAGAAATACTTTCATAAATTGAGCTCCATTATTACACCCTCAGTGCCTATTGAGAATCTATATGCAGTATCACCTTTCAAAGAACATTAGCACAATTTTCATAAAACAGCAAGTAAAGAAATTTTCTCATGATTCTTAACATTCTGTATATATAAATATTCTTAGAATTTACTGTCCCCCAAACATTTATGCCTGTGGATTAAATTGTAAGCTTAACTTTATCTGGCAACAATTGCATGCCCCACCTGGCTTCTCTTTGTGCCGTGATTTCCAGGAAACTTATACTAAATTTAGCGCTCAATGGTAGCCACTCTCACACAATTCAACATACACATATCTCTTTCCACCTTCAAAAGAGACCTTTTTTCCCATTTGTTGCTTTGTTTACCACCCCCCCCCATGATCAAATAGTGCATGATCTGTATGGGAGATATGGAAAGTACAGAAATGAATAAAGCAGCAGAGGATATAAAGCAGCAAGAAAAATAGTTTCAAATGGTGTATGATCTCTTTTGCAAAATCTGGTTCCACTGCCTGGGCCTAGGCCTGCTTTAATGCTATAAGGAATACAACTTATTTTTGGAAGCGGGTAACTGTTGACTATCCCAGTCTTGGAAGAGGCTAGGCTGCACACTTGCTTCTGCATCGCTGGATGGTAGGGAAAGGAAACCCAGACTACTTAGGCTGAGTGTGGGATACCGGACATTGAAACTAGAAAAGACCTTTCAGATGGTCTGGCCTGATCCTTTCATGTTTCTGATGAGGAGTTCTGTCCTCCCCATGCCAGGCTCCTTGCTTATAATCTTTGTACCCACATTATAAGAAGCATCACTAATCTGACTGGTCTAAGTACTGGGCTTTTCTCTAGGTCACATTTACTATGGACATTTACTAGAATGGAGTAGACAAGTGTTAAAAGGCATAAGCCTCTACTGCACTCTTTTACTTTTCTTTTCCCACACAGCTGGCCAGCCAGGCCAGGCTGATGCAAGTTCTGCCTTAGCAGGTCCTGCTGGTTCTCCCTTGGCTTTCTTGCCTGAGTACCTGCACCTACTATATCATGTAGTCAGAAAGGGGTAGTAGAATCTCCAGATTTCCATTCAGGGAGGTAGGAAGTACACAGCTCTGATGGTTTGACAGGTGCTGGACCAGCTTTAAAAATAAGACAGAACATGGTTTCCTCTTTGGCTTCAGGTTCTGGTACATGTATCCTCTGCCCCAAAGCTCTTTCTAATATCTAAGAGAATGTCTGACTTTACCTGGAATAAAATACCTAGTTCACTAGGGAAAAGAAATCCTCAGTAAAAGACTCAAGGGATATGAAAGCTATGGTGAAAGTCTCCAAAAATTAGAAATATAAGGTTCTCCAAAGACAAATGCTCAAAGAATATGAGGGCCAATTTTCTTTTTAGTGTTGAAAATACAGGTGAATAGAGACTTGAGTTTGGTAAAGTTAGAAACATGTTGATTTTCAAATATATTACAGAACTGGGTTGAATTCAAATTATAAATATTAAATGACTCTGGCCAGAATCAAAGTGGAGCTTCCTAGAAAATGCTTCCTTTCCATCATTTAGTAAAGCTGCTTGTAAATCTCTGAGCTGTAGAACTTTGGAGCTGCAAAGGATCATAGCTTTTATTCAAACCAATGTTTATGGATAATCTTAAAAAGCAATCTCTAAAAACATGAATCATAAATTATATCCATACCCAGTCAGCAGGAAACTGTATACAAAGCGTATGGAAGAAGAACTGGCTTCTTTAAATAGAAAGGACCTCTGGGTTCAATTTTTGCTTTGATGACATAAACCCAAACTCCTACTCTTGCAAAGTACTTTTAAAAACCTCTGAGTGATGAGAATTTTGAAATGGCAATTTCTGAAGCAACCTAACCTCAATTTCCTAAGAGTCTGTCTGACCCTTTTTGTTCTCCTTATGGCCTGAGATGGAAACACAAGTAGCACAGAAAGACTCTGAGTAACACCTGAGAAGAGAAAGGGGCCATTACGAGCATTCTCTTTGGCCCATGGCAGGATATGTCCTTGGAGGAACCCCTATTTTTTGATACCCCCAGCACTTATCAACTGTCCCTTATTCTGGAGGCTGAGAAACCTAGGAGAAGTAATAAACGCAGCCTGTGTCCTCAGGAGGGTTATAGTCTCTGGGCAGGTTGCATTTAGATGAGCTGGTACAAGGTTTATAGTACAGAGGACCAGAGGAGTGAAGAAAGGCTCATGGAAATGGAGGACCTGAGCTGAGACTGATGAATAAGAAGTGGAATGACAGCAAGGAGAACACAGCGATAGTAACTAACGTCAGCCTTGTAAATATCTGATTGTATGTGGTTTTTTGGTCAAAATGATGCCTAGGAAAATGTATACCCATGTTTTCTTACCACTGAAGGAAACATTTTTGAAATAATGATGACATAAAACTAACTCCTAATCAAATGGTATGGTGTTCACCATTTCACTCAAGCACCCCAGCATGGGGTCTCTTATATAAGAATACACACCAGTAACTAGTCTTTGTTGATATGTGTATAGGGGAATGGGAGGTGAAAAGAAAGGGGAGCAGAAGGTGGTGAACAGAAGGCCTGAGCAGTCACCAGTCCAACTATCATTTTCCTCCTTACACAGTTAAAATACATTTTAAACGTGAACTTCAATACTGAAATAAACTGTGTAGGTTACATGTGTACCAAAGACTTGGCATTAGAGAAATGGTTTCTTTTTTTCTTAATGTTTTTCCCCTTAGCCCCTGCAATAGGCATTTAACTAGCTAGCTATAAACCCCGACTTTAGGGCTATTCTGAATAACTTTGGAGGGGTGGTCAGGGGACAGGAGTACTCACATGAGGAATGTTCTGACGGAGGAAAGTAAGCCGGTGTCCTGGAGAAATGCAGCAAGGAGAGCTCTGATGCCAAATTTCTCCTCCTGGAGAATGTAGTCGCTTCTTTGTGCTCCAAAGCAGGAAGGGAGGATTGGATGGAAACTGAAGTACCAGTCACTTGGGTGTGCACATTCTCCTCTTCTGGGAGTTCCTTCCCCTTCTCCAAGGAGCCTGGGGATGTTCCACTCTCCATTTGAGAAGGAGCAATTCTTCCTTCTGACCCTGAACTGCTGGTGGTAGGTTAAGCCTTTTCAATGCTGAAAGCAGACAGCAACAATTAAAATTCTACCAGCAGACTTCCATATGTCTTAATCATCTTCAATGATTATTGAATGACCTCCATGAAATATAGAGATGTGAAAAGAAATTAGGAGTGACTATTCATTCTATGAAGAATGAAGTTCTGAAAGACCATAGAGATAAAGACTATTTTTTTGATCTCACAGAGTCTGATTTTGGGGTAAAATTATCAATAAAGTGGCAAATTGAAGGTAAGTATCAGACTATATGGAATTAGACATCAGTATCAGAGCATCATGATTTATCATGCAGTCCACAAAGTTGGTCCCAGAGTTTACTGGAATTCAGCATAAACAACTCTCAGTATCTAGATGTCCAGCAAAATCAGGAGTACCATGTGTAGCATTTTTAAGCTCTGTAGTCACTATTCATAAATGGAACACAGAATACTTTCATATATTTCCTTTATAGAACCGAATGCCCCCAAATAGAGCTGTCACTGTGGTGTGAAACCATGCAGGTCATCTTTGATGGCTCCAGCCTCTACTTTCAGGTAGAGCACTTAGCACTTTCCTGTGTTAAGTCTTTACCAAGCCTTTCTTCTTCATCCCCTGGTCACCTATTCAGCACCTGGTGTCTGGATATCCTTGTCCACCTGGCTGGTTTACCCCACTGTAGGTCCCCTTTATCTTCCTACCTCCATATCAGACATCATGGGCTTCCAGATAAATCCTCCCCAAATTTGCTTTAACAATATCACTCCATTATGCAAAGAGCTTCAGTGACTCTTTCCACCACACCCATATAAACTGCTGGGTTTGCAAAGTCCTCCATGATTGTCCTATCTATCACACAACTGTCCACTCACTGCTGTGTACAATTTATGCCTTCCCCCAGGAAGAATGCTTGTACTGCTGTCCCACAAAGAGGCCACACTTGCCTTTCTCTCTTTTGTACCTTCCCTCAAACTGGGCATCTCATTCCTCAGCCACTCTACCCACCTCACTAAGATACACAGACTTAGGCTGAAATCCTAGCTTGGAAACCTGCTGTTTGTCTTCCACACATTGGATTATTAATGACTCTGAGCTTCAGTTTCCAAATTCCTAAAATAAGAATAGTGTGACCTCACCAGCATGTTGGTACATAGTAGGTAACTAATTACCACTAGTTTTCCCTATCTTCCTCAGTCAGGATTCTTACCATGGATCCCTGGCCCTTTCTTGAAATCCTTTGCTAAAAATGGCAATCTGCCAAGCTGTGCAGACTGAAGCAAGGAACAACCACCTGAGCCCCATCACCACAACCAAAGACAGGCTGGCCATTGAAGGATCCTGTGACAGGATCCTTGGAGGGATGAGGTTTGGGTTCAGACTGGCCATGAAACAAAGATGCCATAGGCCCAACCAGGATGTTCAACAAATCTGCACCCTCATCTAGTCTATAAGTATGCCACAGATGGGGACTTAAGTCACAGGTCTGATCCACCCCCAGCTCAGGGTCCCTCGATGGGCAGTTGCTCTGGATGGAGGGGAAGAGGATGTGGCAGAAATTTTGTTTTCCGGGACTGGACATACTTGAATGAAATGAGCATAATCACACAAACTCACGTAAGGTGCTGCCGTGGGAAGTTAGAGTTGTGGTGATTTCAGACGAGTGCCCAAAAGGCAAAATGGTGAAGTTTGTTGACCTTGAAGACTCATTCCTTCCCTCAGCACTTGCTGTTTCTGTTAAGACAGTGAGGTTTTCTGGAGCTTCCGAAGAAATGTGACTCATTCTGAAGGTCTGCACCATCGTATCCTCTCTGGAGCTCACTGTTGAAAGGTCCTCTTGGTTCTGATAAAAGGTGGTATTTTCTGTGTGGGGTTCAGTGTTGTTACTTTCTGACCTATAGTTCCTTACAGCAGCTGAAACAATAAGAAACCATATTAATGAGAATGTGCTGGTTTCTGAAAAGTAAGCTTTCAGAGAAGACTGCCATCGTGAACTGGCCATTTGAAGTTATTTTCTCTTTCTATATAGGATTAGGGCTGTGGGCACAGTGGAAAAAACCTCTCTGGGAATGAATGAAATCGTTTCTGTATTTATGAGTAAGGCAACAATGTCAAACCATCTTACAGGTAGAGACTACAGGCAGATACTTAGATACATTTTTGTATCTAAATATGTGTGCATGCACACACACTGAACATACAAAAAGAACAAGTTATCTTTTAGATTAGTAATTGTCCAAAAGATAAATTGAGCAACAAACACAATCCACATAAGAACCTTAGAAGCCACATTTAAAAAAATAATAAAAGGGTAAAACTAATATCTTCATTCAACATATCCAAAATATTATCATTTCATTGTGTACTGGATATAAGAAATATCAAGTTTTTTTTTTGTATTAAACCTTTAAAATCCAGTGAGGGTTTTACTGGTCATATTTCAAAAATTTGATAACCATGGGATTGGCTAGTAGCTGCCTTACTAAACAGTGCAGTTCCATCATTGGTACCAGAAGCAGTGGTGCACTGATTTGAGGAGGATTGGGTGGTGGTTATAAAAACTTCCATAAGAGATTCTAACAGACTTTCCTAAGGGAATCATTTCCTCCACAAATCCTTTGAGAATTATTGTTTCTATACCTTCTAGTCTGTTTCCTGGAGGTGATAATTAGCAGAGGTTTCCTGGAGGGGGAGGGAAGTTGCCCAGGCATTTGGGCTACTTTGGGCCCAGCCCTAGGCAGGCAAGGTCCACACTCTGCTACAATGGGATCCAAAGTGGCATTTTGAGGGTCAGCCACAAAGTCCCTGGGGTTGAGATCCTGGGGTTGTGGACAGCAGTGACCCATAGAGCGTGCTGCCTTTGTTCTTCCTATCTGAGCTGCAAAAGTAACCTGACCTCCCCAGAAGAGGTGAAAGTGTTCAAGGAAGCTTTCTCTGTCCTCTTGGTTACATCTGGGCATAATGAGAAAAGTTATTCTCAAAGGAAACCAGAAACAGTGATTATGGGGAGGCAGAATGATCTCAGACCCATGCCCCAAAGCTGGCAAGCTATGAGTAAAGGGAAGGTAATGAGCTTATCTCTATTACAGCATAAGACAAAACATGAGACTGGCTACTGGGGAGTATGGCTAGCCTTGGATGAAGCAGCGATGTCCCCTTCTTCAGGGAGCAGGAGTACCAGACTCAAGTCAGCTTAAGGAATTCACCGGCCCCCCCCCCCCCCCCCCCCCCCCCCCCCCCCCCCCCCCCCCCCCCCCCCCCCCCCCCCCCCCCCCCCCCCCCCCCCCCCCCCCCCCCCCCCCCCCCCCCCCCCCCCCCCCCCCCCCCCCCCCCCCCCCCCCCCCCCCCCCCCCCCCCCCCCCCCCCCCCCCCCCCCCCCCCCCCCCCCCCCCCCCCCCCCCCCCCCCCCCTCCCCCCCCCCCCCCCCCCCCCCCCCCCCCCCCCCCCCCCCCCCCCCCCCCCCCCCCCCCCCCCCCCCCCCCCCCCCCCCCCCCCCCCCCCCCCCCCCCCCCCCCCCCCCCCCCCCCCCCCCCCCCCCCCCCCCCCCCCCCCCCCCCCCCCCCCCCCCCCCCCCCCCCCCCCCCCCCCCCCCCCCCCCCCCCCCCCCCCCCCCCCCCCCCCCCCCCCCCCCCCCCCCCCCCCCCCCCCCCCCCCCCCCCCCCCCCCCCCCCCCCCCCCCCCCCCCCCCCCCCCCCCCCCCCCCCCCCCCCCCCCCCCCCCCCCCCCCCCCCCCCCCCCCCCCCCCCCCCCCCCCCCCCCCCCCCCCCCCCCCCCCCCCCCCCCCCCCCCCCCCCCCCCCCCCCCCCCCCCCCCCCCCCCCCCCCCCCCCCCCCCCCCCCCCCCCCCCCCCCCCCCCCCCCCCCCCCCCCCCCCCCCCCCCCCCCCCCCCCCCCCCCCCCCCCCCCCCCCCCCCCCCCCCCCCCCCCCCCCCCCCCCCCCCCCCCCCCCCCCCCCCCCCCCCCCCCCCCCCCCCCCCCCCCCCCCCCCCCCCCCCCCCCCCCCCCCCCCCCCCCCCCCCCCCCCCCCCCCCCCCCCCCCCCCCCCCCCCCCCCCCCCCCCCCCCCCCCCCCCCCCCCCCCCCCCCCCCCCCCCCCCCCCCCCCCCCCTCCCCCCCCCCCCCCCCCCCCCCCCCCCCCCCCCCCCCCCCCCCCCCCCCCCCCCCCCCCCCCCCCCCCCCCCCCCCCCCCCCCCCCCCCCCCCCCCCCCCCCCCCCCCCCCCCCCCCCCCCCCCCCCCCCCCCCCCCCCCCCCCCCCCCCCCCCCCCCCCCCCCCCCCCCCCCCCCCCCCCCCCCCCCCCCCCCCCCCCCCCCCCCCCCCCCCCCCCCCCCCCCCCCCCCCCCCCCCCCCCCCCCCCCCCCCCCCCCCCCCCCCCCCCCCCCCCCCCCCCCCCCCCCCCCCCCCCCCCCCCCCCCCCCCCCCCCCCCCCCCCCCCCCCCCCCCCCCCCCCCCCCCCCGCCCCCCCCCCCCCCCCCCCCCCCCCCCCCCCCCCCCCCCCCCCCCCCCCCCCACCCCCCCCCCCCCCCCCCCCCCCCCCCCCCCCCCCCCCCCCCCCCCCCCCCCCCCCCCCCCCCCCCCCCCCCCCCCCCCCCCCCCCCCCCCCCCCCCCCCCCCCCCCCCCCCCCCCCCCCCCCCCCCCCCCCCCCCCCCCCCCCCCCCCCCCCCCCCCCCCCCCCCCCCCCCCCCCCCCCCCCCCCCCCCCCCCCCCCCCCCCCCCCCCCCCCCCCCCCCCCCCCCCCCCCCCCCCCCCCCCCCCCCCCCCCCCCCCCCCCCCCCCCCCCCCCCCCCCCCCCCCCCCCCCCCCCCCCCCCCCCCCCCCCCCCCCCCCCCCCCCCCCCCCCCCCCCCCCCCCCCCCCCCCCCCCCCCCCCCCCCCCCCCCCCCCCCCCCCCCCCCCCCCCCCCCCCCCCCCCCCCCCCCCCCCCCCCCCCCCCCCCCCCCCCCCCCCCCCCCCCCCCCCCCCCCCCCCCCCCCCCCCCCCCCCCCCCCCCCCCCCCCCCCCCCCCCCCCCCCCCCCCCCCCCCCCCCCCCCCCCCCCCCCCCCCCCCCCCCCCCCCCCCCCCCCCCCCCCCCCCCCCCCCCCCCCCCCCCCCCCCCCCCCCCCCCCCCCCCCCCCCCCCCCCCCCCCCCCCCCCCCCCCCCCCCCCCCCCCCCCCCCCCCCCCCCCCCCCCCCCCCCCCCCCCCCCCCCCCCCCCCCCCCCCCCCCCCCCCCCCCCCCCCCCCCCCCCCCCCCCCCCCCCCCCCCCCCCCCCCCCCCCCCCCCCCCCCCCCCCCCCCCCCCCCCCCCCCCCCCCCCCCCCCCCCCCCCCCCCCCCCCCCCCCCCCCCCCCCCCCCCCCCCCCCCCCCCCCCCCCCCCCCCCCCCCCCCCCCCCCCCCCCCCCCCCCCCCCCCCCCCCCCCCCCCCCCCCCCCCCCCCCCCCCCCCCCCCCCCCCCCCCCCCCCCCCCCCCCCCCCCCCCCCCCCCCCCCCCCCCCCCCCCCCCCCCCCCCCCCCCCCCCCCCCCCCCCCCCCCCCCCCCCCCCCCCCCCCCCCCCCCCCCCCCCCCCCCCCCCCCCCCCCCCCCCCCCCCCCCCCCCCCACATGCAGTTGGTCATCCATGGTGGAGGCCGAAGTCAGATTGGGTGGGAGAAATCTAAGGGGCACCTGTTATAGGTTGTCCCCAACTTCATATGTTGAAGCACTCACCTTGATACCCAGAATGTGACTGTATTGGAGATGGGGCCCTTAAGTCCAAACCAATCTGATTGGTGTCCTATAAGAAAGGAAATTTGTATACACAGAAACAGGAGGGATGCACATGAACAGAGAAAAAGATCAGGTGAAGAAGCAATAAGAATGGCGGTCATCTGGGGACCAACCAGAGAGGCCTCAGAGGAGGCCAAACCTGCTGCCACCTTGATCTTGGACATCTAGCTAGTAATACTATGAGAAAAAAAGTTTCTGTCATTTATGTCACCTGGATTGTGTTGAATACCCAATGAAGGAGTTGGCTTGTGTTTATAAGCCATGTGGTATCAAGAAAAAAAAAAAGTGTTTCTTTAAACACCAGAATTACACTCAAGGCAGCAAGATGTTCTGACCAACATTCAGGAAGACTCCCATCCCCCATCTCAAGCAAAACCTGGATTGAGTTCACTGAGTGACTGGAGAGCTGAGTCACTGGCCTTCTTCAAATTGTGCCTTCTTTCTTCAAGAGAGTATCTCCAGCCATTCTAAGCTGGTGAGGTCTGCTAATACTTGCACTGAGAGGTGCTATTGATCCTTTATCAAGAGAATTCCAGTTTCTCCCTGTCCTATGGAAACCCAGTTCTGTAAGCTGGTTGCACATAGTTCCTTTGTGTTAAAATTCTTAAACAGTAATTTAAGCCATTTGAAAATGATCTCTAGCCTCCATTCTCATACAGTTCAACAGAGAACTACAAAGCAACTGTCAGTTCCTATGGTCAGTACATTCAACCTTTTTTGTTAATCTTAGGGAAGTAAATCCTTTCTTATATAATTAGTTAATGAGATACAAATATTCACAGCATATGTTTTGAAATACACATTGAAATAAAAGATACATAAAATTTTTGAAGTCATATTTAATATGTGCTCAGTCTTCCTGACGTATACATATTTTAGTTAAAGATTAAGCATGATATGAGGAATTGGAGTATCTTGGTACTTGTAGGAATTGTCTGATATCAGATAAAGTACATTGTGTAAGGAAGGTAATGGAAGGAACAGTCCCT